AAATAACGAGTACTTGTAAAACATTAGTAACACACACACACACACACACACACACTGCCGCACAGCTATAGAACTATGCAATTACCATAAGCCACACACACATACACATACAAATGTGCCCAAAAAGAAAGAACGAACAAGGATCAAGTGCAAATTTTTGATAATTAAACATTCACAAGCGCCAAAATGCTTAACACAAGCACAACGACTGCCCAAAAAAGTGGGCGTTCTGCCATGTGCCACGCCCATGCAATGGCAACGAGGTAAGGCGCAGGCGGCTGTACGGGGGTCCTGAACTTATGCTGGCAATGTAATTAACACACAAAAATTGAAATCTGCTGCCAAGCACACACGCACACATAGGCAGCCCAGACGGCTTTATTGAGGTCTAGCAAGTCAGTCGTGTGTGTGTGTGTGTGTGTGTGGGCGTGCACACTTGCGCGTGATTGTGTTTGTGTTTACATACATGAAGTCGCAACAACTTCCTTTCTTCTCTTGTATATATATTTTTTTTGTGTTTTCGTAATTAAAAATCAGCTGCAGGATATTTCCTCCATTTTCCCAGCGAAATTACAGGCAACATGTAAAACATAAACAGCAATTTTCACCAAGAACTCAACCAGGCCAGCCTGCTCGACCCGCCATATCCTTAATGCCCCAGAATCGGAGCTGAGCTGGGCGCACTGAGAACTTAATGGTTATTAAGATATGCGCGTTTCAATTGAATTTCGCATTTTAAAAAGAGCTTGTGTTTTTCGTTGAATTGTTTTTTTGTTAAGCGAGTGAAATAAAAACACAATGGAGCGCCGGGTTGAGCATCCAAGTAGAGAGTGCTCGACCGGAAGATATCCCGACAGAGGTTTAGAGCATCGTTTACGTTTATATAAACTATACTGTATAAAAGATATGCTTGCCTATGAATGCGATTATAACATATTATGACAAATTATTTACAGAAGAAGCAACATACAAAGCAATTACTTGAGGTTTACAGGGTATTCAAATGACTGACAACTTATTTCAACTACAGTACAGCCGCAAAAAGAATATGTCTATAAAACGCCGATGTCATTAAAGTTGTAATAATAAGCTTAACAACATTAAAATAAGTAAGACTGCTCCAGTCGGGAATGCCCGACTAGCAGATAGCCTTAACCCAGCAACAAGCTCCCATTTCAAACATTATATATTCCTTCTAAGCAAACATATATAAGAAAGCACATCCACACACACACACACACATGCCGCTTGTTGCGCAGCATAGGTATTTGTTGTCCGATCTTCATGAAATTTTAAGGGCATAAATCAGTAAAATACTAATTGTTTTTCATTTTGGCAGAATAGTGACAGGTATAAGAAAATTGATGTATATTTAATCTCAATATACTATACGGAAACCAAACCAACAAGTTTGATCTATCTAGCTCTAATAATTTTCGATATCGATAATATCGAAATGAACCGACCACAACATATGATAAACTCGTACTACGTATGGAATACGTGAATGTATATTTTAAATTTAAATTCTCTAGCTCTCGAGGGGCACAGGCGGAGATTGACTCAGCTCGTTGTCCTTATCAAGAATACATGTAATTTTAAAGTGGGACTTGCTTTCTTCTGCTCGTTACATACATTTCCAAAAAAAACGGTACACCCTTTTTAAACATTTTCAATGGATCGAGGGTATGAAAAAGCTTTCAAGAATCAGAGTGAAAGGATTTCGAACGTACACTGCGTAAATGTAAGACTTGCAGATGTATGCAAATATGATTGAATCATTTAAATAAATTGTCTGCCTACAGCTGGAGGGCGTGACAAATGGCTCAAGCCCGAGGGTTGGGAAATCCGCAACCATTAACAAATATTTTTATTATACTCAAATAACAATTTCACGTCTGCTGCGCCCGAGAGCCGAATTTATTCACGTAATTTATTTCCCAATCATTTATTTTGTATTAATTAAATATGTGGTTTTTTCATACAAAACCACGTAAATATTTATGTTTTCATAAGTGGTACAGCGGGTGAGAAAAATCTGTTTTTAAGCCACAATACAAACATGAAAACCCCAATAAAAACATTGACGGATTTTCCTTTATGAACTCGCAGCCTAAACTGAAATGAAATGAAAGAGCCTTTGAATGATCTGAGTTTTTTTGGGGTGCGGCCTGTTTTTGACAAATTGACTTTGGTAGCAATAATAATAACCAGAACAGCGAATGGCTCTCAAGTACTAAATTCATATTGATTTCAAACGAAACTCAACATGCAAATGACAGATTTATTTTGCATGCTGTCGTTTCGCCTGTCAATCAACTTGGCCAAGGTGTTGATTGATGTCTAGACTCCTAGACGCAGCAAAAACATTTCATAAACATACATGTATGTATGTATATACTTTTTGACAGCTACGCATTCAGTTTTTCGGGTCTGGTTCCATATTTGGATTTGTTTAGATGTGGGTGCAATGCACGCCAAATAGAACGCCTTCACTACGCCTGGGCGCACTTGATTGAGTTTGGTATGGTATGGGGAAACGAGTGGAGCTACCAAGCTGGGCATTAGCAATGCTTATAAATGCAATGACGCGTGTTGCGATCAATGTTGAATAGGATTATATTACAATATTCAAGTAGATACATATGTATGTATATACGTACATGAGTCTGTCTGTTACTCAGAAATAGAGATGAACGTGTGTCAAATATTTTCAAACACGACTTTGGCACAAAAATTAGTGAAGCAATATAATCATTTATAGACAAATTTAACTAAAATTTGGAATCAAAGTCGTTCGTCCATTTTAGACCTGTGTTATGAAACTTGAAGGACACCTTTAACCCGTATTTGTCCTCAAAAAGGGTCGGATTTTGGGAGACGTGTAGAGCACGTCTCATACGTATTTGCACAAAAATCTTTGAAATGAGCTTGAAACCGATCGGATAGTAAAAAAATCAGTTTCATATAAACGTTATACTCGCTTTTTTCACACTTGCGTGTGTAATCAGCAATCAGTCATTCATGCAGGACAAATATTTTTATACAGAGAGAAAATTAAAATTTTACAAACCCCATGAAATTGTAGTAAAATTTAATGCGGCTGCAACTTGGCCATTAAAATCTTAACCCAGTTTTCATTGTCTGAACAGCCAAAAATGTAACAAAAACACCATTCACAGGTGTACGCAGCATTCACAGGTGTGCGCACGAGCTTTTGTTTGTCAAGTACAGTAATTTGTTTGCGTGTTTATTCATGAAAACGCGGCAAGAGCTCAGACAAGAGGCAGACGAAAAACAAATACATACACACAGACAAAAGCAAATTCCTTCAAACGTGCAATTTAGGCGCACTCTCTCTTTCTTTTGCCCACTATTGCCCTCTCGCTTACTCACACACAACGTAGATTTTAATAATTCAACACTTCTCTTAACGCCAGCAGCAGCAGCAAAATTGAAAACTTAAGCGGGCAAAAACTTGATGCCGCCCCAAAACAGGCGACAATTCTCGTTTTTCAACACCAAGCAGAGCTCCTAAAAAAACAGAGTTGTTAAACGCGACTGGAAACAAAGTGCTTTAAGTCCCCCAAACTTGGGGGTTGGGCACATATACATACATAAATGCGGCGAAGCTTGGGTCTAAGGCTGTGGCTGTTCTTAGTATGACGAATAACCCTATGAGGGGACAAGATAAAAGAGGCTAAGCTTTATTTATTATGCCAGTTAGGGGGCAAATCTTGGGAGTTCCTTTTAACCAAAAGATTGTACTAAAGGGAATTCGTTATGTGCGTAGTCTGTTTGATTTGAAAACTTATGCTTGGTTTTAAATTTTCACAAATTTATCTGCATTTTGGCCAAATATTTACATTTCATTGATTTGTATTTGCAAATTTAAGCTTATATAATATTGTATTTTGTATGTAAAAAAGGTAATTAGTTAGTTTAAGCTACATTTGTGGGAAACCACATCAGAGAGCTGTTAACATTTTTGTTTTACAGCAATCTTACAGAAGCCCCGTCGAAAATTCAATTAAAAACTTTATGAACAACATGGATTTGCAGAAATCAAAGAAAATATTTTAAAATTTGCCTGCACATTACAGGCTCTGTATATGGAAGTGCTATAAAAGCAGCTAGAACAACTGATAGCGATATGCCAGCCCCCAGATAGACGCCAGTTGCCAGCAGTCAGTTACCCAAGCGAATCTGTGGCGCTTCCTCTATTCGCATGTGTGTGTGTGTGTGTGAGGATGCGGCCGGCAATGGCATCAGGTAGTCCAGGCCGTCATGTCGGAGCCTGGGGAGCTCGCGCAAACGAAATAATCCAATATACATATTGTATTGTGCGATAATACGCTACACGAGTGGAAAAACTGTTCGCCTCTCATAGAAGCCAGTCGAGTTTTCCTCTTATTCTCTGCTTCTTGTTTTTTAATACATTTTCTCGCTTTCGTGTATTTACCTTGGTTGCTTTGTTGGCACAATGCTACGTATCTAGGAATAACGTTTGGTACGCTGCTCGAGTGCGTTCATTTAAATTTTTTGCAATTTTTAGGCAGTTGTATGCATGGCAAAACAAACAAACAAACCAACCAACTCCCTTACAAATTCAACGGAAATCATTTCCATTTTCAGAAACTGCGCCGAGAATTTACATGTACATATGCGCGAGCATGGGTTTATACTAGGTATAGACGCCCTTCGAATGAATGTGCAAATAAATTGCAAAGTCAAAACTCACACAAAAATTTCATCAAGATGAAACGCACTGAAATTCCATGAAGTCTTTTGCCTCAGCTGCTTAAATTAACGGAGAAAACTTACTATATTAAACATTTTAGCCAGAAGTTCATAATAAATAAACAAATAAATGATATACCATATTTTATCATCAGTTTTAATCAATACAATATTGCTCATCATTGAACCGAACAATTTAATATGATAAAATAGTACTAGGTAAATATTGAAACACAATAAAACCAAGTGGTCCCCTGCCATTTGAGAAACTGAACATATGTACAGATTGCATTTCATTTGTTTACTCATTTTGTCAATCTCTGCACAAACTATGGCAAATAAAAATTTATTTTGATTGTAAGTGCCAGCCGGGCCATGTGCCAAGGATAAACGGGCTCTCAATGTTTGGGCAACTCCCGGACTTTGTGGTCCATAACTGTTTCGACTGTTTCGACTGCCAACTGCCGGCCAGCCAGTGGGCAAATGTCCAAGATGGTTGGCGCTAATTTTACCGTCTGGACCTTTTTGTACCCGCCCCAGCCTCTGTGCCTGGCTTTCTAAGTTGGTTTGAGTGTCTCCTGGTGCTGTTTATTTTTATGTGACAATGCAAAGTAAGTGCACTTGAGCTGTGCTGCCGGCCTACAATCAGCTGGCAGCTGCTCAGTGCGCGATAATTAACATTTGTTACGCAGGTCAACAGCAATATACACACACGCACACACACTCACACACACGCACACACACAAACACACACACACAAGGTACACTACTCCATAAATGCGTTGAGAGAACTGTATAAAAGTCAGTGAGCTTTAAAATTGGCACGGCCTTTCGCTCAATTACGGCAGTATGAGGAGCTCCATTGGCTGCCGGTTCTGCTGGGGCTGCTCCTGCTGCTGAGTTGCCGTTGCACGGCCATTAGCCCGACGAGTCCGGGATCGGGCTCGACTATGAGAATGGGCATGGGCACAGCAGAGCTCCGACTTCAGTTCTGCTTTGTATGCATGCCATAATTGTTTGGCTAGGAAAAATAACAGCTCGCAGATGCCAATCAATGAGAAGCCCGCTATGATGCCGCAGATGTTGCCAATTGTACCTGGAAATGAAGTAGCATGAAGTCGCATTCATATCCATATATACGTGTATAGTAGGTATATGTATATTTATGCAAAAGTGTAATATGCAGCAGACTCACTGAAGATCTCATACCAGTCGTTTTTAATAATCTGCCGAAAGTATTGAATGTGCGTTTCGGCAAAGTAAATACGCACATCGGCCAACTCGGAGCTGTCATGGCCATAACTGTTATTGGCCATGCCCCTGCTGCTGCCATTGCTGTGCCTCCTGCTGTTGTTGCTGCAAAATTAAACTTATTGATAGTGACTGACGCAGGGTAAACGTTACCCCATCAGGGTAGCATGCACAGAGATGAACCAAGCCAAAATTAAAACAAAAAGCCTTTTTCAATCACGAAACTTCAGTAATGGAAACTGAAGGAACTGTGGAGTTGTGGGAACCATAAAATTTAACGTCATTACTTTGAATATTTTCGTTTGTCTGAAGCTGAAACTATCAAGGATTATTCGATAATAGCAAATATCTCATCGAATTATCAGACAAGCCTAAAAGTATGAATTTGAGTAAAATATTTTTTCGAAAGTGGAATTCAGAGAACGTGTGAAAATTGATTTTAAAATGAAATGACGCAAATTCGCCTCTTCACTTATTTTTTTTTGCCAATACTTGCTGCTTACGTCATAGGTCTATGCAGACTGTTGAGGGCCAGAGCTCCGGCGCCACGAACATTGTAGCGCGTCTCAGTGCAGGAGGGCAGACAGTCGGGACAGTAGAGGGCATCCTCCAGCTCATGCTCGAGGCCGGGCACATTGGCGCGACTGGTGATGACATTCAGCCATTTGACTGAAATAATACCAAAAACTCTATCGACTTCAACAACTGTCACAGCCACAGCCACTGCCCACTCACACTTGTAGCGCCTGAGGCACTCCATGTGCTGGAGCGTGCAGAAGACGCCTCCCGTGGCGTCTCCAATGTATTGCTTGGGTAACTGAAAGGGCAGGCACTCACACAAATTATACATGCTGCGGGCGCGGCAGGCGGAGATGCATTTGCTGAAGGTATACCGGCTGGTGAAGTTGTGCGGAGTCTCATCCCAGAAGCGACATTTACGCTATAGACACGTTTATTGATTGATTGGACAATGATTGACATCTGGTTATGATACGCACCACAGCGGGACTCATGTGTCGGGCTTCCGGCACAGTCTCCAAGATCTTGGGCCGCACGGGCAGATGAGTGCGACGACCCGTCTGCACATAACGTATGGCAACGCCCCCAGATTGAGGATCCGGATAGTTCATCGGCTCGTAGATGGCAATCTGCTTAGAGAATAATAGTTAAATGAAATAGCTAAGATTTTGTATTGGCTGCTATAAGCTAGAATCTTAATTTTATTTGTGACCTTTCTTTTATTTTTGCTATTTTGCCACATTTGTATAATCTACCAAAATAAAGAACATAGTGTAGGTATTACCGAAAAGCCGTCTAGATTATGCATCTTATAAAAATTATCGTCCTGTTTAGATTTGAGTGTAAGCACCAGACCCATATCGTATCCATAAAAGCGCTGATGATACGTGTGACCCTTGAGAAACCTGCGAAAAGCCAACAATATATACCCAACCCACAGCATTCGATGTTTGGATTTGCATACTCTCCATCGGAATTGAAAGTGCAACAAAATCCATAGATCGAGAGCGTTTCACGGAATTCCTGCAGGCAATCGAAGGATCGGCCGGCGAAACGACACGATACAAAGATGTCGCTGCAATTGGGTGTCAGGATGCGCATACGTTTGTTTGTATTGAAGAACAGTTCGTAGGGCCTAGTATCGACCGAATCCAAAAAGCCCTGAAAGCGTAGCACGCGCTCATAGTCGCCCAATTCCTCGGGACTGTACAACATGCCAAAGGCACGAAGCTCACCATAGAAGTAGCTGGCATTTCGCTGCTTGGGATCCTTGCCGCTGCTGGAATGGATAATGAGAAGGCATACCTAGTAAGGGGCTTGCCACAACCAGACTTAACTCACAGCTCCTGTGCGTAATGCCAGACGGCACGCTTGGATATGCGATTCTGGGTGCAAACTGTGACGGCGGGCAGGGCGACTTGGCATACGGGATATAATGGATTGTATAGGGTGGTCACCAGCTCATCCGTTGCGTCCTTATACGTGCCCCATACGAATGCAATTAGGACGGTCAGCGCAGTTATGTGGCAAATAAGCCAAAAGAATCTGCGGCAGAGTTTGCTAATTGAAAGGACCGTCGAGCGGGGAGGAACGAAGGCTTTTAAGCCTTGGCCGTGCCGCTTACCGCTCCTGAATGCGACGACCGTGCTCGACTAATTTGCCATAACAATGAAATGACAGGTTTTGCAGCAAATCCTTTAACGCCGCGGGAAACGACAGTTTTCGCGTAGCTGGTTCCTCTTCGCGAATAGCCGCCATTTGCGCGACTGACGCAGGTGGGTGAATCCTTGGGTTGGGTATCCACCAGGCGGCGCGTCCGACCACCAATCGTTGGGGTGGCAATCGCGTTGCCCGTTCCGTATTTGTTGTCATGTTTGGCACTCACTCAACCGTTTGTGGATTGCAACTGTTGCGGCTGTCTACGCGGTGCGCGCCTTTTTGTAGGCGCTCTCCAACAAATGTCCTGCCTGGCATTGTCCCTGGCAGCGGGATGGGTGGCTGTTGGATGCCAGCTCGTTTTAATGAAAATTTTGCAGTCATGTCGTGCTTGTTGTTGTAATTAGGCCTCGTGTTTCAACTTATTGCCAACAAATTAACTGCGACATGGCACGCGGTGTTCAGCATTGGTCCCAATCCCACTCCGTTGCCTGTTTATTCAGCCAGGCTCTCGATTCGTCTTGGCAATTTTCCTTAATTGTCAACAATTTAAAATGAAATTAGTTAAATGCGCATTAAATGTCAGCCAACGGAAACAGCAACATCATCATCGTCGTCATCATCATCATCGCCATCATCATCCTCATCATCATAATCATCATAATGTCATTAGGTAGCAGCAAGGACAGAAGCAGGTCATGTCCTTTTTGATTTAGCTTGGGCTTGCTGGCAGTCTAAAAAAAAACATCAGCACCCTCCCCAAATATGCCTCGTGGCCTGGATTATGAAGTAGGCAAATGAAGCCACGTGTTGATTGTGAATATAGATATACGAACTTTTATATTTCAAGTATTTCTGTTTATTTTAACATTGTGCTGCTGTGGCTTTAAACAATTACAATTTAATTTTGCTTTATTTGAATATAGATATAAGAACTTTTGTATTTCCAGTATTTATGGATTACATTCAATAATTACAAACATAATTTTCCACGCATTTTTCCCAATACTTGTCTCTTTTTTCTTCAGCTCCTCCCTTTTTCCTATGGGCATATATGTAACTTTCGTGCATTCAACATCTTTGCCTTGCTGTTAGCTCTGCTAAGATCTATTATACGACAGCAGCCCATGTAAATGTACTTGCAGAAAAAGAAAAGCGCCTCAAAAATGGCCACCAATGAAAATCCCATAAATATCGACAAAATATTTCCAATGGTGCCTGATAGACAAACAAATACATATGGATAAAAAATAAGAGGTATTATTGTATTCACAAATACTTACTGAATATCTCGAACCACTCGTTGTTCAATAATCTCATGTAGAGCTGAGCATGCGGCTGTCCAAAAAAGACTCGCAGTACGGATAAATCGGAGCCTAGCAGTGTGTCATTATATTCATCAGGTTTTAGGTTGGCCAGATAGGTATCAATGGGTAGCTCACTCATAGATACCCTGTACTGGACATCGTTGCATGAAGGCAGACACTGTGGACAGTAAAGTGCTTCCTCTATTTCGCGCTCCAGACCCGGAATTCTCAGTCTCTCAGTTAGCACATTATTCCATTTAACTGCAAAATAATTCTCGAAATATGTGAAGAGATTACTTGACTAGAGTCAAGAACTTACATTGATACTGGCCGAGGCACGTAACATGGCTAAGCGTACAATAGACAACGCCTTCCAAGTTCTCCACCAGCTCCAGTGGCAACTGGAAGGGCAGGCAGTTGCACAACGCTATGATGCTGCGTATGCGACATCTGGTAATGCAGTTGGGAAACGTATAGACGGAGTTCATCATTCGCATATTCGACTCGCTATGGAAATAACAGCGACGCTAGAATAGAAGAAAATATTATAAAAATCAATTTAGAAACTAATCGCAACAGCTTACATTAAATGGGGAAAAGGAGTGTAAATTCTTATCGGTATCTATAACGCGCGCAAAAATCTTCAGAAAACTTTCCTGCCTTTGTCCTGGAAACATTTCCAATGCATTTGACGATGATATCGATGCATAATTGTCCGCGTCATGGATTATGACCACGTAACCATTTGTATTCAAAATGGGCGCCAAATAATCCGCATGACTCGAATTGAGCACGACTGTAAGGCCCAAAGCTGAATCAGCAAAGCGATTCTTAAAATCGCGTCTCTTGAGTCTGCATAATGATTAAGTCAATATAATGATTAATCAAAGTGTGTAATATAAGAGGTCAACATGGCTTACCTGTTCTTGCCATTAAAAGTGCAGCAGGGTCCATATTTGGTCAGACTGCTCTGAAAAGCGGAATCGCTAAAGCAAGGTATATCCACATTCCGCAGACTGCATTTCATTATATAATCCCTGCAATTGGGCGCTAACTGGAAAACATATGATATGGCCTAGCCAGTTTTCGCAGATTGTTAAGACAAGCTCACCATTCTCATAATACGCCGCGTATCGAAGAAGGTTTCGTTGTTCCAGGTGCCGAATATATCCAAAAACGCTTGAAAATTAACATAATCATCGACGTCTGAGTCCCGGTCGCCGGGTATATATAATTTGCGTAAATACTTCAGCATGTCCAAGTAGTACTTCAATTCACGTGGGGATGGATCATTTCTTTGCCTGCTCGAGAATGTCAGTGTGTGAAGACCAGAAAGGGGTCGATGGGATTAAGGCTACTTACAGCTCGAGAGCGTATCTGGTCGCGGCCCGCATGGAAATGCGATTGTTGGAGCATATTGACACAGCCGGAAATGGCACATTTTCAACAGGATAAAGTGGATCCTTCAGATTGATGACAAAGTATTGTGCAATAAATTGCTCCCAGGTGAGCAAGAGCACAGCCACCATTGAAATGAACGTGGTCGTGTGCACCAGCAGCCAAATTAATCTGCAAACAAACGAGCCCAAGATAAACGCACAAAGCGCACGGCCATGAGCGCGTTTTGAGGCAAATACGAAAACGGAAATGAAAAATGTGAAAGCAAAAAAAAAAATTAATGCAATGCTACAGCGGAACGAGATGCAACGAGACGTTGACGATGACGGCAGCGCCTGGAGAGCGGGGCGGAAAGACAAAAGACCCGAAGCATAGCTTCACATTTTCTATGGGGTCCACGTTGCGTATGAGCAACGTAACGTCAGTGTAGCAAAAGCAGCATCGAGCTGCTTTTTCCTCTGTCGCTTACCTCTCCGCCAACGTTAATTCCGATGCCAATAGTTTGCTATAGCCCTGCAAGGATATATTGCGCAGTAATTCAACCATATCCAGACAAAAGCGCGACCCAAGCGACGCCTTGCGCCCAGCGCCGCCACCCGCTTTCGCTGCACTCGGATTTTTAATCCACCAGATGGCATTGGATGTTGATTCAATATTAACCATTGGAGCGCACAATTTTAACGATGATGCGAGCTATTCGCGCTATGCCTGTCCTGTCCCTGAACTTGTTGTCCGCCAACTGAGAGCCTTTGACGTGCGATTGAGTAGCTACTGCCGCGACCAAACTGGGCGTGGCCACGCGTCGAGGCCTTAATGCAAGTTTGTCATTAACTTGGGTTTTAATTGTCTTAGCGGCTGGCTACAAAAACTCCTACAGTAATTATGGAAAAACGTGCAGCATACTTTTAGGCATTCACAGCAAACACCAAGCCAGCGTTGCCAACTACTTATGGCAGGTTTCGTTGAAAACTTTTACTCAAAACTCAGGTTGCCTTGAACAGTTATAGTTTATTTAAAAACATAAAACTACATAATTAAAAATTAAATAAAATCCAATGATTTATTAAATACATTTATATATAAATAAGTTTAATGAAATGAAAATAGCAAGCTCAATCATGTACGCAAAAACTATTGCATACTTTTATGCGCAATGGCTAATAAAAAGTAACTTTAAATTATAAGAAAACTGAAAAAATGTATTTACATGTATTAAAACTGACTTAATATCTTGTAAGCTTAAGTATTTATCAAATAAACTGGCGTTTACTTTTAGCGGCCTGCCGGCCAAAATGGCTGACCCGGATAGTTACGGCTGCCCACAAAAGCATACTGATTGGGATTAACGACCCGAGCTATATCCGTATAACTGCGTCCGTTGCGCTCCGTGCGATATCCATAGGCCGGCCAGCCCAAAGCCACGGCAAGCAGTGTGAACCAGGCCAGTAGAGCGAGCAATAAACCCTTTCCTTGCAGGGAAGACATTCTGTTTCTAGGGATCGCTATTGAGAACTGCGCTTCGATGTCGTCGCGTCGATCCCTTTTATATGACTCTGTGCCCAGTAAGTGGTCAGAATTGTCTTGAAATTCTGCTGCCTGATCGATCAGGTTTTGGTGTGACAACAGCAACAACACTTTAAGCAATTTCAGTGCCACGCGACGCATGCTGCGCACGTAGCGCCATTGTCAACCTCCTCTTCTCTCAGACTGCGACGTGGGATCTTCACCTGAAACATCTCGTAATGCCATCAAAATGTCATTCACTTTGCGACCGGTCAGGCTTTAGGTACCAGTAATCACGTTTTGACTCAGAACAAAATAGATATATGTATATATATAAATTCAAAGCGATCTAAGCTTTCAGCTGTCAATTTTTATAGCTCAGTGAATGATTTGGCTAGTTAAATTTTGGCTACTTTAAAAGTAATTAACAACTGCTAAATGACAACTAATGACGTTTTGTGGGTGCGCTAATAGTCGTACAATATGTTGAAATATATACATTTCAGATTGCATTGAATAATATATCTACCCATATTCATACATATAAAGATCTTAAGAATAGCCAGAGGGGAACTCCTAGGCGACTGCGAAGCTAAGCTGCATACATATCTCTATACCAGACTGAGTCAATGCTAATTGAATCACATGTGCTCGCACTTAAGGTACATATATCTTTTATGTATCGAACAAAAACCTGTCTTGCAATCATACGATATTTGCGGTTAACTAAAAGGAGTATAATAAACGATGTTTAAAGAGACAGCTGAAATCGGACAAACTTGAATAGAAAATAGCTGTAACCAGGTCTCTATGATATGAAGAGAAGAGATTAATTTAATTTTCAAATAAAACAAACAATATAGTCAATAAAAGCATCTTAGTTAAAGCGTCTTAAACATATGCATTAATAAACTAGAATGTAATCTATCATTAACGTCCTCCTGGCCAATAGGGCTGTCCTGGATAATTACGGGAGCCGATTGAAGCATATGGATTGGGATTAACGACACGCGCTATTTCCGAATATGAATTTGCAGGCCGGGCTAAGGCCAGGGATAACATCGTGATCCAAGCGAATAGAGCTATCAGCAAGAGTTTTCCTTGCAACGGAGACATTTTGTTTCTAGAGTTTGCTATTGAGAACTGCACTTCAATGCCGCCACGCAGAAGCCTTTTATACGACAAAAGTCAGTAAGTGGCCAGAGAAATCAATGCATTCTGTTTCCTGCTTATCGATCAGGTTTCGATTTAACAATAACAACATTAGCATTTCTATGGTAATACAAATACGACTAATTCCATGTTGACTTCTACCACTCACACAACTTCCGATGTTAATCTTAAGCTGTTTTATTTTACACAATCATGTTTTCACTCACAACTGACTACACACTTTCAACACTCAGTTGGAAAAGCAGTGTGAATGATCGGGCGCAGCATAACATAACTATGACAATTTAAATAGTAATTAACAAGTGTAATACGACTTGCTAATGACGTAGGTGCGCCAGTTGTTCATTAGTATATGGTATGTCGCAAATGGCGGGAAACAATTGCGTATTGTTATATAAACTTATAAGAATTGCAATGAAATTTGGTTTTTTTCTTTCCTGTAATGACAATTTTATTATGGACTTAGGGGAACTCCTATATGAGTGTGCCGCATATCTTAGCAGATAAATGACTCAGTAATGGTAATTAAATCTTATTTACTTGTATTTTCTCACAAGTGTATGCCTTATGTAAGTGCAACCCAGTCTTTGAATCAGTTTACACTCAAGGGCTTATTTTATATACCAGCTAAACTATAAAATATAATATTTGTGCCTGAAGATTGCCAGACTAGTTGCGTATGTGATCATTGTCGAGAAAAGGGAACAATGAGGATCCGGTATCGAGTCCCATGCTAGAATCTGGATGTAGTGATATATTGATTATGGCCCTTAACTGATCTTTAAAAAAGTGTATTAATATTATATACATTTTGAAAAAGGTTTTAAAAAAAGGATTTGCTTTTAAAATGAATATCTTATAAAGATAATATAAAATCTCAACTGCTCTTAGATATTATATTTACAAAAAAAGTTTAAAAAAAAGGGTTTGTTTTAACAATTTAATATCTTATAAAGATAATATAAAATCTCAAGCGAATTTCTCTTTCAACGCTAACAATAGAATTGTCTAAACTGGAGACATGTTACGGATATGCAGATATATTGAAGTTAATTTAGATTTAGTTAAAAGACTTTTCATAAAAACTAGCAACAGTATTTTGTGTACCAATTGACATTACTTTAATATATTCAAACATATAATTTTCCTATGATTAGCTTTAGAATTTGTTAGCCCCACAGGGCAGAATAGGGTGAAGTAGATAACGAACCGCGCCTAGTCCTTAATAGGGATCCGGTCATAGAACTCTAGCTATATCTGAGTAGGTGCGTTTAGTTTTTCGTCAATTTCTGGAAATTTCAGGTTGAATTTCCAGAACCAGGCCAATAGAGCGAGTGAGAAGCCTTCGGGTAAAACTACACTTTATAGTCATAAGGTAGAACCTTTTTATATGCCCAGTAAGTACCAAGAAGAATCACCATATTCTATGTTCTACCTATCGATCAGGTATTGATGTAACAAAAACAACATAAGCAAATGCAAAAACAGTCGGCCGACAAATCCCATGTTAACTTCTATAACAACAATACTTACTTACAGCTTCCGATGCACATTTTAATCTGTATAGGCATATCAACAATCTAGAATACTCGCTCACATCTAGTTGTAGGGAACTTGGACGTAAATATATAAAAGACAATCGCTTAAACATATATTATGAGATTGACTGTGCATACGTAGACATATACATATAATGCATATAAATATATATAAATTGTATTTATTAAATTTAATTTTTTTGCCTTATTAAATGCCAGTTTGATTTATACTTAGGGTAACTTCGACATGAGTGTGTGTCGCATATATTAATTAAAAAAAATTATTCAGTAATGTTAATAAAATCGTATACACTTCTACTTATGGCAGATGTGCGCATTATATAAATTAAAACCCGTCTTAAAAACAACTCGTAGCCCCCTGTCCCTTTTCCACATTACAAATAAAAAGTTCTTTCAACTGGTCACAGGTCAATTTACACTAATAATAAAAGAAGTACATACAAATTGTTAACTGGTTAGTACTATAAAATCCGTATTCGACATTAAAATCAACTAGATTTGTTTTCAAGAGCGTGATTCGCGTGACATTTACGTGACACTCCCATCCCTAAGCGACCTAGTCGCATTTCAGTCACGTAGCGCCGAGCGATGTGGTATATATGTACATATATATGCATACATATGTTTAGTCTGATAACAAATGTTATTGCAAAGCTAATTAAAAATAGCTTTAATTTAAAAAGTTTCACATACAAAACACGCAATAAGATGCAGTTGAACTTGAATTATTTGAAAACAAAACTTTCACTGATTTATTTGCCCTAACTTGTTAATATTACACAAATGTTCACTATAGATGCTAGCCCCACAGAGGGGAATATGGAGCACGCGGTAGATAACGACCCGCGCCTAGTCCTAGATAGGGATCCGGCCGTAAGACATTAGCAATATCTGAGTAGGTGCGTCCAGTGCGCTGTCGATTTCTTGTCCTGTACGGCTGCTGTGGATACCCATAGCCATAGCCATAGCCATCGTAACCATCATAACCGCCATATCCACTATATCCGCCATTATAGTTATGGCCATAGTTTGCCGCATGACCACCATAGCCATAGTTGTAGCCTGGATAGGCTGAACCAGCGTTTCCCTTCAGTCCTTTTAGTGCCTTGAAAAACAGAGCGTTTCCCAAGTCCAGGCAATTGCCCAGCAGCAAGGAGAGGAACATTATGCTAGGAACTCTCATGTTGTCTGTCTCTGGTTCTGGTTCTGGTTCTGTGCGGATCGTTTGTGTTCTGGCCATATATCTACGCAGTTCCCTTCTATTTATACCCTGCGAATGGAATAGTCGGGATAGCGATGACACATTATGCTTTTAATGGTTTTATTTCAGCGTCTGTCTAGATATTTAGCCACCTGGATCGCTAGAGATCTGCTGCCATAATGCTAATGTCAATCCATCCAGCAACAATTTAATGCATGACTGTGAATTACTTGGACGTTAACAGATGGATCAAGCATATTGACATGCGGAGCACGTGCGTGATTAACGCACTGCGCGGGAAGAAGCCGCTCAAGCGGATCCATGAGTCGGCGGCCGTCGGTCAACGGCTGCCTTCATCTTATTTCCTCTCAAGCTTTTTGGACTTTTTGTTTACAATTTTGATGAACACATAATACGCTCCGTTAGAGAGCGAATCTTTTGTGGCTCTCGCGATCTCTCATCATGCATTGATTAGCACAAGTCGCAAACAGCAGACAAACAAACCGAGGACAGGTTTTGAATACAAATCCGAAACGTCTGCCTCTCTTATCGCCTAACGCCAAAAACTTTCCCCTCAGTTAGAACTGGCTGCTCTTAGCGCATGGGCGCTCAAGCTCGATTCAATCCGACGTGATCATGACGCGAATACGAATAAATATGCTAACGGCCTTGGTAACGTGCCTTCTACTCCTAATCCGCACGTGTAGTTGCCAATTTTCAATAGCGAGATCAGCGGCATCAGCTGGTGGTGCAGTGGCATCCGCCGGCGCCATTACCGCTGTAGCCCAGTTACTTCAACAAGGATTGAATGGCAGGCCACATCACGGCGGCAGGAGGCGTACGCCACCAGGCCAAATGAATAGACATGGCGGCGACGGCTGGAATGGTGGCGACGGCTGGAATGGTGGCGGCGGTTGGAACGGTGGTGGCAGGCAACCACCTCCTGGTTGGGGTAACTGGGGAGGCGGCAGACCAAATCCTCCTGAATGGGGTGGCTGGAGTGATGGAGGCGGAAGGCGACCTCCACCCGGATGGGGTGGTGGCGGAGGCTGGGGAAATGGAGTTCCACCCGGTTGGAGAGATAGAAACGGTCCCCCACCACCTGGCTGGGGAGCTGGAAATGGAAATGGAAATCCCCCACCTGGCTGGGAAGACGGAAACGGAACTCCACCCTCTGGATGGGGAGATAACGACGGATCTTCACAGCCTGGTTGGGAAGATAACTACGATTCATCGCGCCCCAGTTGGGTGGATGGAAATGTTCCATTCCAACTGCCTCCAACGAACGACAATGGCCAGTTACCTGTCAATAGCAATTCCAATTCACCAATTAACACGCCGTCAACAACGACGCCAAGCCCCACTGCCCCTGCGCCAGCCACACAACCCACCCACAATACACTGATAGTTGGCAAAAATCCACCGCCTCTTGTAATTTCGCCTACTCCCCCTCCAAATCCTGGTGACATGCTTATTGTGGGCACAAATCATCCACCGCTGGGGCCGCTAACAACACCAACGCCATCATCTAGATCGATTGAGCAATCCCGGTTACGAGACATTGTCTTCCCCAATTCGTTACATTACGTGCACGCTCCCAGCCTGGAACTTCAAGCGGAACCAATCGATGTGCGTAGAAGAAAATGAGCTTCACGATCTGTTAGGTCTTTCAGTATGTTAGTTTATACTAAGTAGAGATAATAATTATACATTAATATTTATAGGGAATGTGCAATTTAATAAACACAAATAAAATTGAACAATGGCAAAGCTCAGTTCTCTCTGAGATTCGGCTCGAACTCAAGTTCGTTTTCGTATGCCTAGGGGCTATGAGCTATATAAACAGGTTCTGTGAGCTGACAAACAACAGATAAATACATATGTATATAAGAAGAGGGCAATATGTATAAAAATTATGTATGTGCTGAACTTGAGCTGATAATATTCGTATTACTTATAATACTGATGCGATGTTTTCCATTCCTGGATAGGAATATGTATACCTTGACTCTTGCTCTCGTAATCTACGAGGTAAGAATCGAGGCCGATATTTATCGATTTCATCTACAAAGTGAAAGTCTCTGGAGTCCCCAATAGGTCAGCTCGACTCTTGATGCTATAATTTACGGAGTCGGAGATGCTCGTTTGCCCAACTTTTGTAAATCAATTTTTTCCCGTTTTCAAAAGGTACAGGAAACAATCTCAGCTTTGTGATTCTCGATCACGGGGCTGAAGCTCTCTAAGCTGTGACCATGTTCAACATGGTCAGAAATAACAACATATAGATTGAGAAGTTGGCAGTCATTTAAATAAATTATGGATAAAAAACATTCTTATAATCTTAAGTAATTTCTAAAATATGTATCAAATGCAAATGGATTTTAATAACCGTGTTGCTTGTAGCCGCCAACTCCGGGTCCTATTGGGCCCGACCTGCCATAGCCTTGTCCATAAGTAGGCGCTGTGGGTGCATAGCCATGTGGATACTGCGGTTCCGGATAGTAGCCCTTTGCTGGACCATGCACAGGTCTTGGATAGTACCCGTATGCAGGCTGTGGCGGTGCCTGGGAATAGGGACTGCCAACAACCACACCATTGCCATGGACATGTCCACCCCCGCCGCCATAATAGTAATCATAGCCATGATCGTAGCCCTCATGTATAAGCGGTGCTGATGGTGGTAATGGTCCATAGGGTCCCCCTCTTGCGTAATGCGGGCTATCGTCCAGTACTCCAAGCAGCACCTCAGCCATCTTATCAAAGGTGGGTTTGGCCTGTGCAGCCAGCAGAAATGCCAGCGACAGGAAGCAGAATCCTATGTTGAGTTGCATCTCTGTGAGTGTTAAAAATGAATATGATACTCTTCCTTCACGAGAATCGGGTTTATATAGCATGCTGATAATCGAACATATATATGTATGTGTTTACTCAATGATCAACCTTCAACAATGCTGATGATCTTATCATTAATAGGCCAATCGGATGGAGACGGACGGAGAACTAGGTGCGCGTATCAGGGCTACGCATTCTCGTTTCTGCAAAACAAAGTCAAGGTTTAGCGAACCAAACTATGTGCTCACCCACAAAACATGGGAAAACCCTAACCCTAGTGTATTGTCTCGTTAAAACATAAGATTGTGACGTCTATAAATTTGATTAATGAACTTAAGTTCTATAATCTATAATCTGTTTTTTTTTTAAGGTATTACATATAAAAACGCTCCGCAGCATATTTGTTTTGTAAATATTTCTAAGAATTGAACAGAGAATTAGCGCTTCGGTTTTGCAAACATCTAATGCCATTATTATTTACTTTTCAATGAAACTCAAAACGTCTCAGTCTAGAACATGACATGAACGATAACCCCGTCAGGCACAAACTCAGCTAAGCGCACATCGCACTAACTTTAAATATGCGAAGTATGCGCTGTTAGGGTCCAGTTCCATCGGAAGCTTCATCATGCGCTGGAGCATTGTCTATGTCGAGCTGCTATTAGCCCTGACCGCTGGCCTGACTCACGGGTCGCAATATTCGCGAGATGAAAGCAATGAGGATTCCAATACCGAATTTAACTTGGCCTCCACTTTCAAAGGCGGCATCACCAGCAATCGTCACCATGAGCGGGCGCATCTCAACTCGCAACTGTATCCGGATCTAAGGCAGCAACAAAGTGATTCCGTTGACATTGACGCACCGTCCGCTCACGAGAGCGGCGGCAGTGGTGTCGGCACCTTTGATGCTCGCGCTGGGCCGTATGGTATTGCTGCGGGCATTCCACAGCAACAGCCTCTTGGATATCCAAATTATCCCGCACTACCCACCGCTGAACAACCCCAGTCCGGCATCTATCCAGCTCCTCAAAGCTCACCAGCTGTATGCGGACGTCTTACACCAGGCGCTGCTCCAAATTCAGTACCAAACGGATGTCAGCAACCAATTCCGGGACAAGCACAGCTGCCAGCACCGTTTCCCCCTGGATATCCGCATAATACAAATCCGCAAGCAGCCGTGCATTCTGGAGGCAATCCTCCAGGCGTTTATCCAAGTTTTGGAACTCACCAACCTGGCTATCAGCCCGTACAGCCTGGCTACCCCTATCCAGGCCAATATTTGCCACAATATCCATCTTATCCACCTACAGCACCATTTCCACTCTATCCAAACTATGGGCCAGGCGTTCCAGCAAATGTTCCTGTTGTGACACACCCGGGAGCGCCACCTATCAGCTACCAGAACCAGCATAACTATGCACCACATGCAGCACCAGGGCAACGTGATCGTTGGGATCATAGCTTCAAATTGAAAACCGAGTACACAGAGGATGGTTTGCACAAGGGACCATTCGATGTGCTTAACAATTACGGTTCCCAGGGCTATGGCAGCGGCTTTGGTGGCGGCTATAATGGCGCCTTCAATAGGCCAGGTTACTAAAAAATACAAAAATAACATTAAGAGTATGGTCATAAGTTAGGTGTAAGCTAACCTTACCGCGTCAGGTCTAGGAGCAGCAGCTGCTCGACCGTGTGTACTTTAATAAACTTGATTTTTTTGCACATACCCAACCAAAGTAATTAGCCATATACCCCGGTTGCACCTTGAGCAACAGCAGCAGCAGCAGCAGAGGACGACATCAACATCTTTGTCCTGTACGTACATAACGCACCCTACCTTGCGAACCGGAAAAAGTAACATGCATTTCAGTTGCCTCATAATTTCGTTGAGGAAACACACAATGGATATAAAACTACCTGGCTGCAGGCAGCGCTGGCAGCCAAAAAAAAATGAAGCACAAGCGCACAATGGGAGGACAGACGACGGACGACAGGCGGCCGGCGACCGACAAGGAAAGGTGGTAGAAAACGTCAAGGAGACAGACAGACAGACAGACAGACAGGCGACGGCTGCTGCTGCTTCTGACTGCCTGCCCTTTTAAAGGTTCAACTGCAGCGGTAGAAATCGGTTATGTATGCAGTGATTTGTTGGACAAAGACGATTACGGGAACGGGAACAGGCATCGCTGCTGATGTCTTGCGGCGCATGCGCCGCCTGCCAAGCAAAACCCAAAATAATTTGGCGCTAAAATGTGAAGACGGGCGCGCCAAAAAAAAAACCAGAGCCTGAAATCAAATACATAGATTATTGATGTGCATGTGAATGTGTGTGTCACATGGGAAATAGACTCACCTGAACAAAATCAATTGAAACTAGAGCTGTCCCAAATAGTTGGTGTTCTGTGAATACATACAGAAATATAATGTATGTATATAGATTTATATGCCAAGCACTTACCTTAAACTCTTGCACATTCCCCCAATTTGATATAAATGTACTTTCTTGAACGGACATTAAGATTGTTTATTGGTTTTCTTGACTTGGCAGCATACATGCATACATACATACATATATAGATAACATGGAATACGAATACATACATAACTAGTTATTTAGACAATGGAATATTAATTTTCCCGTTACATACAATGTATAATAAGTCATGATTGGTAACAAAAACAACAACTACAAAATTACATACATAAATGGTAAGTGGCCAGCTGATTAGAGCATCTGCCGTCGGTTAGGTGTTAATACTACTACGCTTTTATAAATCTGTAGAATTGTAGCATAAAATGTTTAAACGTATAATCCATGTCAGCTTTGGTGTCCAACATCATCAAACGGCATTGGCGTTGCAAATGCTTAAAATATGTGTAGAATTTATTAAGGGTAATTTCTGATTATAAATAGTATACATTTAAATATATATATATATGTAAATGGTTAGTGCTTGTGGTCGGGTTGGGTGACAGTTGTGCTGGCTACCCTGCTTAATTGCCTTTTTTTTATGAAAGAAGAGTAAACAATAAACATAATTGGAAACAATCTGAATGCTGAACATAAAATTTATAGAAAAAGTCATAAATGTAAACCAATAATAAAACATCATTAGAAACACGCAAAAAGTACAAAATAAATCGAAAAAATTAAATAAAAATATATGAATATCTTGGTTAAGGTTGGTTGCAATTTGGACTGATAGGCATCTTTAGAGGTGTTATGGGTTGAAGCGTCTTAATGTCTAGTGAAGCGTAACAGTTGTTGCTCATTATCAATTTGGCTAATTGGCGTTACAACAGTGCAAGGCCCCCAATTGTATGGCTCAGGTGCACAAGTTACTATCGTTCAGATCGAGATTGCTTTGGAATAGCTCCACGTTGCTAAGCAGCGGCACCTTGGCCACCTCATGGAATATCTTATGCGAGTACTTGTTCCGTATCGTCTTGATGGTGGCGCGTGGTTTCCTATGCAGTCCTGCGTTCAGCACCGGCACAAGCTCCGCAAACTGTGAAAGTTGATACCCTGTGTAGTAGGCCAGCGTTGAGGTCCAGGTCTGTTTGTGCAGATTCGCGGCACCGCCATGCATGCGCAGTGCCATGAAGAGAGCGGCCGAGGCCATTTGCGAGTCACTAAAACCAATGGTGGCATAGTCCATAAGCGACAGCTCCAGAATGTAACGCGCCAAAGTAAGCGTGGGCATTTGCACCTTGGCACATCGAGCATAGCGGCGCAAGAAGCGGTAGGATAGCGGTATGCCGAGATCGTAGTTGATAGTTCGCAGCGTTTCCATTTCCATTTTGACCAGTTCGTCGTGATTGTAGGCGCCATCGCATATGTACAGAAAGTCCTCAATTAGCGGCGGCTGGCGTTCATCGTACTTGCATGCAATGAAGAAGGCAGCAGCGCCCAGCAGCTGCAGTTTTTCCTTGTTAATAACCTCGCGGCACAAATAGAGATCGACAATTTTTACAGCCAAATATAGTGTTTCATGATTTAACTCAAAGGTCTCCTGCACCTCGACCATCCAGTCGACCAGTAGCGTTCGCATCCAGGTGGTCAAATGTACCTGCTTTGGCATATAATCGTGAATGGGAAACTCTGGCTCGCGCAATTTCAAATAATTAAATATGTCCATGGCATAGTGGGACACCTGGAAGGGATCATCCCAGTTCTTGCGATCAAAGTCCTCCACATCATCGGGCACGGGGCGCACAGGCGTCACCATAGCAGCTGCGGCTGCTGCCATATGCACCGATTGCTGCGTCGGTGCTGCCTTTGGCTGTTCAGTCTTTAGTTGCAGTTTAGCAGAGAGGCGTCGCGCTGCCTCAAAATTGCCAGACAAGCGCATGGATTCGCAGCTGGAGATGTCCTCCAGGGCGGACATATAGAGGCTCTCCTCAGTCTTATTAAAGTCATTTGATATGCGACGCACCGGCTTGACGGCAGCCGGCGGAGGCGGTGCAGCCAATTTTTGGACAACAGGCGCCTGCATGGGTGCAACTTTTGGCTCAACTAGCACTGTGGCTGGCTTTTTTGCTGCCACTGGTGGCTTGCGTGTCTTTTGACGCGCTAACGCCTCCTCGAACTTGTCCAGCACTTTGTGGCAGTTTTCCACCGAGTCCTCTGTCTTGGTTGAGGCGCGCGTCATTATTTTGTTGGGCATAGCGGCAGGGAGTGGAGCAGTGACTGCGGCTAAAACATTTAGATTGTCAATAGTCTTTGCATCCAGAAGCGCCTGAAGTTGCTGTGCCGTCGGCTTTTTGGGCAGCTGCTGCTTGGAGTCCTCGTCGCTTGGATGCAGCGTCATGATCTTAACATTGTTGGTCAAATTACCCAGCGCCGAGCGCTTGATCTTATCATTCTTGATGGGGCTATTATCGGCCTTGCGTTTGCCGCGCGTCTGCATATTCTCTGCATTTGGATCAATGCCACTGTTGGCCGCCCGACGGCTCAGTCCCTTGCCTCGAACGCCTGCCATGGGCAAAAGTGCGTTTATGGCCGCCTGGTTGCTTGCAGCAGTACGAGTAGTACCTTTAATTGGCGCCATTTTGAAATGCTTCTATGTGTGCGCTGGTTGTGTTGTTGTTGTTGTTTTTTTTTGTCGAACCTCGCGTTGTCCTGCTACACAGCGACTGCGTGCGCGATTGTATATTTTGTATTTCGGTATTGGTACTTTGACTTATTTGCGCGCTCCGTTGTGATATTTTGTATTTGCTGAGTTGTTTAGTTGTGAGATATACTTGATTTTTGTTTATTCTTTTTGTATACTATAGCGTCGTTGCCTCACAAACTCACTTTTCACTTGGACTTATGGCGCTTGGCCGCTCTGCTCATAACGGCGCTTGCAAAGATACAAAAGCGAAAAACAGCGCCAGCTGCAGATGTCAAAAAAAAGTGAAGTTGGCCGCGGCGTCTGTTTATAGGGTTGTCATTATGTCTGCAATAATTTACCGTTGCCAACACGCTGAAGTCGCTTAGTGCGTAGTTTGGTTGTAAGAGGCCATTTTAATTTTTAACGGTCTGGCAGCGCCGCAAATTAATGCAAAGATGCACCACGGTGCAACAAAGAATTTGAATTTTAACGTGCGATGTGGGAATCTAAAATGCGGGTATGTATAAGTTATATTGTAGTTTAATTAGACTAATCACAGATAAAAGAGTTAAAATAAGTTACTACTTCCAGAGCTTGATAACACCGTCACGCGAAGCCGACGCTATATAAATTTGTCCCTTATCTTTGCACATGAGCAAGTCAGTGATGGCATCATGATGGCTTGCTTTGGGCATATCCGGTCCCGATCTGGGACTTTCCTCAATTGAAGTACGCATCTGTTGCGAGTCGCCTGTACCGTTTTTAGGAATGATTAGTTCTTCAATAACTTGGCTGCCGTCGATAAGACGAGCGCTAAAAAAAGTCATATATATAAGAAGGGTTTGGCAGAAAAATTAAATGCATATCGACCATATAAGTACGTACCTATAGTTAAAGGACACATTGGCCAAATTATCATTTGCCGCAGGCACTTTCAATGCCGAGTTCTTTGGCGATCCTATGTCCCAGTACCTGATACGCTGATCCGAACTACCTGTCAAAATGAATGGTGAACCGTCGACCACACCGCTTAAAATACCACAGGTTGTTGCTGGATCATTGAGACTGGTATTAGTCAGAACGGGCGCTGGGCTGGCCCAAAGCACAGTTTGTCGCTGACCCGTCTCAATGTTCCATACAGATACTTCATTATTGGACTGCGAGGCGGAGATCAGATATGATGGCTCAGTTGGATGGCAGGCCACTTTTCTTATCCACGAGTCCGCCGGATGCTTTATCTCGGTTATGGGCAGTCGGAAACGCAAGTCCCAGCAGATATGCTTGCCACCGCTGGTGCCCGTTGCCAGCCAAGAACCCGTTGGATCCGCACAAATGGTGGTGATGACACCATGACGCAACTCGTTCTGCAAACGCCAGGCGCTATGCTGCATGCGCGTATCCCAGGCCACAATGCCGCCATAAAGTGTTGCATAGACAATAACACTCTGAGCCGCCTGATCATACGCATGCATATCCACAACAGGTCCATCGTTATATTCACTACAAAAAGAGGAAAAATCAATTAGATCAAATGTAGAATCAAAGATTGGTAAATTTTACTTCTGATCTAAGGCTTGCTGTAGGGTCATCTTGGTGGAATTGCGATCGATGCGCATTATTAATAGACTGCCATCCTTGCCACCCACCGCTAGTGACTGTCCAGCATCGCATGCGGCCAGCGCATAAATGGGCGTATGAGCAGAATATACCTGGCGAGATTTATTGATGCCCTGATTGCCGTTTAGCTTGCTGCAATCCCACAATCTAACTGTGCCATCGATGCTGCCGCTGGCAAACAGTGAACCGTCGGGACGCAAAGGCGCTAGCTTAATTACCGACTCGGAATGTTCATGCAGATGCGCCACTAGAGTACCATTGAGGCGCCAATTGGATGGATACGGCGTGACCAGCTTATCATAATTGCAGCGTTGGGAGAGAGCCAGCACATTATAGCGACGCTTGATCTTAAGGGTCAGCGACTCCAAGTCCTTGCAACACTCCGAAGAGCGATCCAGCGAATAGTTGCGATCCGGCATGGTATATTCACCCAATGAAGTGGCAGTGCTCACTGTTGTGTGCGGCACGCCCAGTAACATAGCGCCGGAGGCGGGACTGCCGGAAGGGCCAGCAGTTATATGTGGAGTAACAGCCACATCGGACGCGGGTGAAACTAGTGCTGGAGCATGGGCATCTGTAGTTCCTAGGTGTAGACTATTTTCATCACAACTGAAAGTCGATATGGCACTAAGTTTAAATCTTACTATTGTCCTGGGTCAATTTAGTAGCCTTTTCCGCCAGGGGATATTCATGGCAGCCCACCTGCTTGCGACTGACCACAATTCGTCCATTGGCACAGCTGGCATCATCCAGATCTTGTTGCGCCTTGTGCTTAAGGGATATCAAAAAAGGTTTCATGGCCAACAATTGCATCTCAATAGTCTCCGTCAATCCCTCCGAGATAAGTCGTCGAAAGAGCTGTAGTGTTTTGGAAATGTGAGTGGTTCACTTGGAACAACCAAAATTACCAAAGCACTTACATTGAGCAGCGCCTGACCTATGTCATCAGACTGTGGCTGGCCACTGTTCCGTGTACCACTTCTCCAGCGCGCGCGATCCCCAAGATTACCTACAAAAGACTTAATGTCCTCGAAATAAATCTGTCTGCTTATGTCATCATACTGAGGCTGGACGCAGTGTCGTGTGTTGTTGCGTAAGCACGCACGGTCCTCGAGGGCGCTTACAAAACACTGAACGTCCTGGAAGCGCAGCACGCTGTCAAAGACCTGTCTGGGTATGGGCGGCAGCAGACAATCAAGCAGAATGTGCGGTTTGTCCACTTGTATTAGCGGCGCCTTCAAGAATTTTCCAATGGCCGGCATAATCTTACACTGCACATCGATAGCACTCAGATTGCGTGCTGTCGTGGCAATCATGCCGCAAATTTCATGACGCACCCACAAATTTGGATGACACAAATAGCAGGCGGTTTCATTTACAATTTCAGTTACGGTGGGTTTTCTTATGTGTCCCAACTCGATCAGAATTGTCACCGCACGTATGGCCTTTGCAATGACAAACTCCTCGCGATCTGTGAAGCCTTGCTGCAAAAGGGGAACCAGTATATCCGATGCTTGCCAGCCCACGTAACCGGCAACACCAGCAATGTTGTCATAAAAAGCGCCGCGCAAATTCTTATCATCGTCATTGAGGAATGTCATTATGTGCGAGAGTATCACGTCGTTCGCTTTCTCCTTCCCAAAGAACGCGCACAAATCGCAGATACCTGACTCCATCAGCGTCTGTTTGACAATGGGCTGCGTGTCTGTCAACAAACTGAGCACCGCCTGACGCACAATATCATGCAGAGCATTAAGCTCTGCCTCATAACGTGGCGTGGGCATTTCGTTTGGTGCATTGCGCTGCGTCTCCTCCAGAAAGTAAACAGCACTCTTGGAAAGCGCTGCAATATTGCGAGCAAAGGCCACGCGCACAATAACAGCACTCGATTCGCTGGCCAAGTCGGTAATGTAGGGCAGTATGTATTCCGGAAATACATTGGCATCGCTGCGAGGAATGTCCTTGACCATGCTCAGGCAGGCGGTCAACGTTTCAATAGCCTGAACCTGTACCTTGGCTGTCGACTTTTGTGCCAAATTCAGCTGAAGGCAAAGAAAATTAGTTAAATGAAATATTTGATAATTAAAATGTAACATACAATATATGGTAATATACGATCCAGTATGGTCTCAGATGTGGTATACTTCGATAACTTTTGCAGTAGCTGCAACGCAGCAATTTTTGTGTTGGACTGTTTAAGACCTCTGATGCAAGATGTGACTACTGTTATAATAAGTATAAGACCATCCTGATCTGGCGGCAGCCGCTCGTACTTAAGAGGATCCCTTTTCTCTTGTATCTGTTCGTCTTCTTCACTGGGTGTTACGTCCTGTGCTTGTGTCAGCACCTTAATGCAGTGACCAATGTCCTTGTGCAGACATTGTATTTTGTCATCAGGCGACTTGATTGGTGTCGATGAGAACATTTGCAAATATGACTGCAGAAATGAGTAAAAGTATTCTGGAAATAGTTTGCCGCGCTCCTGATCTAAATAATCCTCTGCGCTCTTGCGCTTTATTGAATTAATGTCAATCATGGATGCCAGTAAGTTGCGCAGTCGTTCGTTCTCAATACCAGCCAAATGTTTCTCGACGAGCTCTCGCTCACCCTGCCGATAGGCGAGCAGTTGGGAGAGCTCAAATGGAGCAGTACCCTCCGACCAGAGCTCTAGCAAGGCACAGCTGTGAATGGAAAAACTATTAATACATTTATGTTGTGGATGTGTTGTATATGTTAACTCACCCAGCGGAGAATATATCCATAGCAGGCTGCAAAGTGTTGCCAGCATATGAAGTCGGAACACGTATTATGGAGTCCGAGTGAATAACGGACATATTTGCATTATAGGGATCATCTTCAGACGACAGCGTCTTCACGAAACGCTCTGGAGCGATATAGCAAGTGCGACGTCTGCTCGTGTCAAAGAAATAGGTATAATCTGCTGGATTGTCTTCTGGTAGATATGTGGGCTTAAATGAAGCAAAGTCCGACAACAGGATCCAATTCCAAGAGGTGATCAGAATGTTCTCAAGCTTTATATCACCATGACAGATTTTTTGCTTGTGACACTGGTTTAAAGCGCACAAAATCTGAAAGGTAATCCACTTCTTCTCTAGCACAGTAAGAAAAGGTCGAGTGGACACGCGATCGTACAGACTGTGCTTGACATACTCTCGCATTATGTAGGCTGCTTTGTCGATGAGCTGTTAAGTAAAGTCAAAGATCGCATTAACACTGTGACGGAAAAATTTAGTTGTGGACTAACCTCCACGCGCTGAAAGGGCAAACAGTTAACAGCATTTGCAAGCGATAGGGTTTTCTTGATGCTCTCCAAGCGTTCCTTGTGATCCTCCAGAGGCAAAGTTGGATCATGTTTGACAAATACCTTGACAACTATCAAACCTTCATCGGTTTTAGCTTTCGCCACTTTAAAGAAACGCGTACTCCCCATACTGTGGGTGGATAAGACGTCATATGTACACATATATGCTTATATACACTTATGTGTAATAAGCAGCTGTTAAATATGTACTCACTTCAGGTCGAAAATGATTTCATTGCCAAACTGTCCAGAAAAGTAGTGTTCCACTGCATAGATCTGCGATGGTGCAATGCCAACCAATTGATTACCCATTTTGCTTGCATTTGCGCGTTATTTCTGCCCAAAACAGTGCGCTTCTTTATATTTGTTTGTTTTTAGTTAACAAATTGCAGCTCTCACTTCTTGTTGGAGTGTTATCATGCAGGGTTGCCAAGTCCACTATTGCAGTGCTGTCAAGCGTGATTTGAACAGCTGTTTTGCGGCCGATAACAAGCAGTCTTATCGATTGTGCAATGCAATGCGCGCCTAACTTGTTTTAAAATGTGCGTCAAATTAGCTGCGGTGACTTAGCGTCGATTTTTGGTACTTGGTATCGGAAAAGGAATCGGTCACTTTTAAATGCATTTTTTTATGTTTTTAAGATCAAAACCAAATAAATTTAAATGCAGAATTGGAAAAAATTGAATTATTTACTGTCTACATTCATTTGTTTTGGAATTTTAGTTTATAATATGGGTGTACCAAGGCGTTGAAAAATTAGGTTTCCGCCATTCTCTATATATCTTAATTCAGGGATAATACCACTAAGCAAATAACATATAGACTGGTCAAACCGTATATTTGGTGGTGACAATCGTTTTTTTTTGCGGCTGGTCCAAACTCGCCTTCGTTTTTTGTTCGGGTTCGAGACTAAGAATGTGTATTAATGATTTTATTGACTTATCATATTCATTCATCAATTCAAACCCTAAATCATAGAAAGAAGGGCGCGCGTCAAACGCCTGCCAATAATGATATTTTTAAATTTTGCGCCCATGATCAGCCCATTCACACACATTTGTGTCTCTGTGTGTGTGTGCAGAGCTCGAAATTCAGAAATCCAAAAATATTGTCAAATTTGCATCGGACAGGCAGGCAGGGACCAACAGGCACACATGCGCATAAATGCTTCTATTCATATACAAAATACGCAAGGATGCGTGAATAGCAAGTCCAAAAACTTTTAAATGCACACATGCCAGCGCTTAGGTACGCTTTCGAACAAGAACGAGCTGAAATGAAAGAATTTCGCATCGACTTGGCAAACCCTTTCATTATATCATATTACTCGTCCCCTCAAAAGGGAAGAAATGCCACCGACTTTTGTCAAAAATTGAATTTGTGGGCATTTTTGCTTGTGCGGACACATACACACACAAACATTTAAACGGTACATAGACAAATTGAAAGAGCACTGAGAGTAAGCCAAAGCAGTTTCCTGTAGTGGGAGCGAGATAAAAAACAGCGATGCCGTTCTATCGCACAAATCATATGGATGAGAGTAAGCCAAAGCAGTTTCCTGTAGAGTGAGCGAGTAAAAAGACAGCGTTGCCGTTCCACGACACAGGCCATATGTATTCTTACTCTCTTGCTGTGAGAGCATGCGGGCGTGTCTCGAACCCGAACAAAAACGAAGGCGAGTTTGGACCAGCCGCAAAAAAAAACAATTGTTACCACCAAATATACGGTTTGACCAGTCTATATGTTATTTGGTTAGTGATAATACGTACCAAAAAGGTAGCAAGTACCAAAAATCGACCTAAGTCACCGCCGCTAATTTAACGCACATCTAGAATTGTTATCGGATGCCGTTTTTGTTATCGAAATGCAAAATGAAATTTATTTTTTTAATTTGATATATATTTTATATAACTAATAATCTCAAAACTTATGATAATTTTCATTGCAGTCACAATTGGGCGGATCAAATAAACATATTTGTTTTAAACAATACCGGCAATAACTTATAATGTTATATTATGTCTTATTAAATAAGTACTGGTAAAATATGTATATATAAGTTCATAATTTCATAGAATTGTTCAATTGCAGTACGAACATTAGTTAGATGTATCCGGTTCCAGTTTGGGTAATTTTTTTGACCTATACAGAGAATTTAGATTTATTGTTCGCCTGTCTTCATAGCTACATATGTTTAAGGACTTACATGACACGTAGCTCCTCCAGGGTGGGTACACTAAGACGCGAGGACATGGCCTCGCCCTCCTCCTTTTTGAGCTCCTGCGGATGCTTCTTTAGCTTGTGAGCGCGACAGTTTGCATTACAGGCAAATGTTTGGCCGCAGTATTTGCAGACGTAGGGACGCAGTCCCGTGTGGCTAAGCAGGTGCGACTTGAGTGTTTTGGAGCGTTTGAAGAGCGCACCGCAAACATCACACTTGAATTTTCGCTCCTCACTGTGCACCAGTTTGTGCATGTTCCATGTGCGGCGAGTCTGTAGCTTTTTGCCACAAATGTTACACACATAGCTGGGCTCCTCGTGTATTTGATAGTGCACCTTCAGTCGAGCTCTATTCTTGAAGCCAGCCTTGCATATCGAACAGTTAAACGGACGATCCTCCGTATGAACCAGCTTGTGTTCGTTGAGTGCCGTTATGGTCTTCAGCTGCTTGCCGCAGTGGTCACACACATAGGGCTTGGCATTTTCGTGCATGCCCTCCTTGTGCAACCTTAGTGCTGCAGGCGAAGACAGCGTTTTGTTGCAGAGCTCACAGAATGTGTTCTTATCCATCCTTGGCCGCTGTTCGACTTTGCGACAAACAACTCTTAGATGCTTTTGATATGAGGCTGGATTGTGATACATTTTACCGCACCATTTGCACTTCATGTTACTGCGCTTTGAGGGAATATCTGAATTTTCATTTTCCGATTCAACATCCTCCCTATCGCTGTTGGTTAAATTATCAAGGCATTCCTCCTCAGGCTTAACGGTATGGAGAGAAGCTACTTCTGGCAGATGCTCCAAATTAGCATCGAGGCTTAAAGAGTCCTTTTCAATATCTTCAGGTAGAACTCGTTGGACATTCCCAGCCTTACTGCCGCTCTTTTCTGCCTTTGGCTCGTCTTTATATTTCACTTTTCTTTTCTTTGCTGTTTTTTCGGGCGAATCAGTTTTGGGTAATTTTGACATTTTTCGTCGAGTTCGCGGTTTGATGGGATTATCATGACCTTCAATTTCTTCAATGGGCAAGTGACTGACAATCATTTCTTCGTCGTTTTGCAGCGGTTTTGTTACCTCGGAGTCCAAGCCAGCGCCCAAATCTACAAACTCCCGCTTTGGCAGCTCACCGTCCAAGCCAGCGTCTAAATCTACAAACTTCCGATTTGGTAGCTCTGCGGATATTGTCTTTACATCAGCGCTCATTTGCTTGGCTGCATTGTTCTCCAATTCCGAAACCGGTTTGATTATGTGCGTCCAGTCGCCTTCACGAAGTCCATACTGCTGCCGGAGCGCTTCCATATCGAGTTGTTTATTGGGCTCGGAGAGCCGCAATACCTCAAAGATGGCCTGAACTTTGGTGACATGTTCGGCAAAGTCAATTAGCTCGCTAACTAATGTATAGCACTCTTTGCAGAGCACACCGCCAAGCGCGTCCTCCAGTTGCATCTGGTTTGAAAGTGTGGGATTAGTTACACGAAATACATTTTCCGGCAACTTACATGTACATCGAAATATTTCCTAATGGCCATCACCAGGATACTGTTCCAAGTGTTCTCATTGGCACTTGTGTAAATTTTGACGTTGCCCCGTGCATCGTCCTTGGCGCAGAGGCGACACCAATTTAGCCAGTGGCTATCGCCAATTGCAGCCTCATAGTGTTCCGCCATTGCGAGGCGGGTTAAAAAGGGTCTTTTAGCTTGGTTTAATTCTCATAAACAATTTGTTTGTATTCTGGACATGTTTTGGTTACAAGAAATAGGTAAACACTGAATTAGAGTGACCACATAAATACCAAATTGTATGGGCTTTGGTATTTATTGGTGTGTGTTTAATTGAAAATGCAAAATATCAAATTTTAAAACGATTCGTGCTTTTATTCAATTTTCATAGTTTTGGGTTTACGCAGCCGCTCACCTTTCTCCATGCCCGCAGCTCTGAAGGGGAATTCATATGCTTTTAAATATATCTTAAGTACATGGAATAAGTAATTACTTACAAGGCACGCAACTCATCCAACGTGGGCACACTTTGTATACGGCACGATTTATCATCATCTTCCTCATATTCTATAGGATGTTTCCTTATTTTGTGATCCCTGCAATTGGCACCGCTGGCAAAGTCCTTGTTGCAGTACTTGCACGTATATGGCCGCAATCCGGTGTGACTCAACAGGTGAATCTTTAGAGCTGTTGAATTTTTTGTCGCGGTACCGCAAATACTGCATTTGAATCGGCGCTCGTTAGTGTGAACACTTTTATGCTTATTCCAAATGGCACGCGTCTGCAATTTCTTGCCGCAGATCTCACACTCGTAACTGGGCTCGCCGTGTGTTTGGCTATGTATCTGTTAATTAAGAACATATGTATATTAAAAGCTAGAATTATCTGAGTCGTAGCTATCAATTTCCACATACACATCTTCAACGCATTTTCAATAGGATTATGATAATGCATCTGAAATAGAAGTTTTACATGATTGTTTATCATTAATATTTTCCTAAAACCAAAGGTAACTACGGTGAAAATTCAGCGTCCTTGAAGCTTATTCCTTATAAATACCATATTTGACAATTACTAATAATCTGGCACTTACATTGAGACGCTTTCTATTTTTAAAGGCCGCATTGCACAATGGACACACAAAGGGCCGATCCTCGGTATGTACAAGCATGTGCTCTTTAAGCTCTGAAACTGTTCGGACACGTTTACCGCAGACATCACAGACGAAGGGCTTCTTTTTCATATGCACGCGCTCTATATGATACTTAAGTCCATTCTCCGATGATAGCTCTTTGTGGCAGACATTGCAGGTGACTGGATTTTTCCTGATTTGATTTTCGGTAAGATTACTATTCCTCACAGATCCTGCTGCTTCCGTTTCAGCTTCGGGCACTGGAGATGCGAGCAAAAGTCTGGCTAGTGCGACATTTTTACATTTCGAATCGCTTTTGTCATGCAAGATAATACTTTCATGCTTTCTAGGACGTCCACGTTTTCTTTTACTAGTACTTTGTGCGGATTCATTAGGATTGAAGAGTTCATCTCTATCTGCGCTCTGATCCTTGGCAATCAATTGATTGGGCTCGTCGGTAGATTTTCTTTTGAAAGTTGGCGTTAAAAAGTCGAGGTCCTCTTCTGATACCTCCCATTCGTCGAGTACCTCAGTTTTAACAGATTGTTTGGGTCGACCACGCTTTCTTTTTATATCACTATTCAGAGTAGTCTTATTCTCTTCCATGGAATAATCTTCAAGCCAAATGTGATTTTGTACCAGTTCTTGCTCAACGCCCTCTTCATGGCTGCTTGATCGATCCTCGTGGAAATCCACGGAAGCTTCAATTTTGAAATTTTCTAAAGTTTCTTGGTGCTCATTTGATTCTGCAGCTTCATCGTGTTGCAGCTTTCTTGAGCCCTTAGGACGTCCACGTTTTCTTCTTGCCGGAATTGGCGATATGGTCAAATCATGTTGAGGATCACTATCAACATCTTGATAAAATATTTCACTGTCGCCATCTAAGCTGTCTTCACGACTGCTCAATTCCTCTAACTCTTCTGGTTCCGTTTTGTAGCTATGATCTTGTGAGCTTTTATCCTGTAGACCATATTGTTGGCGCAGAGCACACACATCCACTTGCTCGTTGGGCTCGGTGTGGCGCAACAGCTCAAAGATGGGCTGCACCTTATTGACATTTTCAGCGAAGTTCAGCAAGTCGCCTATCAAGGCGTAGCACTCGCTGCACAGCATGCCACCCAATTGCGGCTCTTCGAGACCTATCTGTAGAAGGAACTAAGTGAATAATCACGCATTATTGTTTTACTCCAGTTACTCACCTCGATATCAAAACACTTGCTTATAATACGCATGTATACATCTTTTTGACGCACATTAATGGACGCATCGTCATTGGCGCATAGCCGACACCAGTCCAACCAACACCGTTCAGTATTTTTTTTATTTTTTAACTTTTTCATCGCGTTGGGAAAGCTAATAAAGGCGGGCAAAATAAAACAATAATGTATATTATTGGCATTGCTATGATTTAGGGTGACCAGACGCATGTCAACACTGCTAGTGTCTGGCTGACCATATTTCTAGCAGCTGTTAGTGTGACCGCAGTTCCGAAATCAGGGCTGTCGTTAGCATTTTTATTTGGTATCGATGCTTTTATTTTTTTGTGATATCAAAGTGTTTTTACCTGGCTACGCTTGCGCAGTTTAAGAGTTTTATTTAAATTGTTTGCTTTTACAAATTGAAAGCGGAAGTGTGCTCAGGCGTTGAACAAAATATATGTGTGTGTCGGGCCAATTGTTTTTAACTATTATTTATGGCATGAAAGCAATTTAATTGTGTTGCGTGTAACAAGATACATTTGATTGCTGCGTACACCATTTGCTGTTGTATTAGTGTGGGTTACATTGTTACATACAAACCGTGGCTAGAGGCCAGCCCCAGCCTGAGCTGCTGGCCATTCAGCACAAACCGCATTCCACAGAGCGGCGGCCACAGCACAGACCATCAATGAAAAAGGTGCGTTCGATCTAAACTGGAGTTGATTTATTTTTACCATATATAAGTTTATCATTAAACGCTTGCAGTAAGCGCCATGCATCACCATCATCCGCCATTGCCCATAATGAGCACGGCAAACGCGGTAGTGCCAGCAACGGTCGCCTCCTCGCAGTCGCAACAACCGCCGCCACAGCAGCAGCCACAACAGCGGCGTCGCAAAAAGCGTCCCAACTACGGCACACGTACCGTGGAGGTGCGTCGTGGCTATAATGGCTTTGGCTTTACCATATCCGGGCAGCAGCCATGCCGCTTGTCCTGCATCATCAGTAATTCGCCCGCCGAGCAGGCGGGTTTGCGCGCCGGTGACTTTCTCATCTCGGTGAACGGCCTCAATGTGTCCAAGCTGCCGCATGAGACAGTGGTGCAGCTAATTGGCAATTCATTCGGCAGCATACGCATGCAGATTGCGGAAAACTATTATTCGGACAGTTCGGACGAGGAGAATGCCAATGCCACGTTGCTGATACAGCGCAGTGCGCGCGGCCAACTGCTGGCGGCCAGCTTGGGACCGGGTGTACGCAACAAGCCGCGTTTCCTGCATCACAAATCCAAGATGCACCGTCTGCGCAACTCCCCACAAAAGAAGCCCCCTGAGGCTGCTGAAGCTGTGGCGCCTGTGGTGATAGCTGCCCTACCGGATCATGCCACGCTGCGTCCGGTGCTGGAGGATGCGCCATTGGCCAGTCTTGGCAAGGTTGCGGATGTGGCCAATGTTAGCGCCATGGTGCGCGCCGTTGGCAGCGCTGCTCTGGAATACCGTGTCATTGTTGGCTATCTGGGCACCATTGAGATGCCAAAACAGATTTCGCACAGCTCCAAGCTGCAAACGGTGCGCTCCTGCATACGCAAGCTGCGCCAGGAGAAACGACAGCCCACCATTGTGCTCATGTGCATCACGCCGGACTCTCTTCGCCTGCAGAGTGCAGGCGGCGGCACACTGGCCACATATGCATCGGCGCGGCTCAACTACGTCAGCTCCTCGTCCGAGAGCGAGAATCGTTTCTTTGGCCTGGTCACCAGCGCCGTGCACAACACGCAAATTGATGAGGAATATGAACTGGAGGACAAGTCCAATGCCAGCGGTGGCCACATTAGTATATCGCACAGCTGTCATGTCTTTGTCATTGATACTAAGCTAATTGAGCATGGACAGCATTTGGCGCGCGCCCATGAATATCGCTTGCAATGCACCAGGGATCCCATTTCAAATCTGTGCCTGGAGTTTCCCAATAACTCGGAGTATGTGGTGAATCTCATACGCAGTATGTACACCATGCGCATCCTACCCCCTGCCAGCCGCAACCAACAGCCGCAGGATTACGAGGCTGGTGCCGCCGCTGCTGCCCACTCACCGCAGCCGTCCAATCACAGCGAGATATCAACAACCACCTCTAACTCGGATTCGGGCATTGGCTTCAACAATGACTGCACCAACATATCTGATCGCATTTTGGTTGTGGACTTTGCCGGCGCACCGGCGGCGGCTGCTCTTGGCCTTGCGCCCATGGCCCCTGCTGCAGCGCGTCCATTGGGCATTGTGGGCGTGCCCGATAATCGCCTGACTGTGCGCGCCATGCCAGATCCCGATCGCAAGTCACCGTCTGCGTCCTGTTCATTGCGTCGCCCCAATTTACTGGCCAGCTTCAATCTGATCAAGAGTCCGGCTACAAACCTCACGGCCACGCGCTCCTGCGATGATGTTCTGAATCTCTTTGTGGATGAATCGCCTGTGCTTGCTGCTGTCGCCTCCATGGATGATATTTCACTGCATTCCACCGCACCCTCGCTGGATGAACCGCACACGTTTGTGCATCCAGCATGCGTGCCCCGCAAGACGCGACGCTCTATACAGCCAATGGCCACAGCTGCGACAGCCCCAGAGCCAACTCCATCCAAACTTAGCGCCCAAGTCTTTGGCAAGCCGCGTTCGCGACAATCGCTGGGCTTTGAGGCCATCGATAGCATCCAGTCACCTGGTCTGGCCTGCGTCGATCAGCCCATGGACACCTGGACCAGTCTGCAGAACTTACACAATGCAATTAATCCGATTACGGATCCACCATCATCTTCATCCACACATTGCCTACTAGAAGCTACCAACAGTGAACCGGATCTGGGGGTGAGTGCAAGCAGATTTTTATATATATATATTTTTATTTGTTTATATGGTGTAGATAATATATATCCTCTATAATTTATTTGTTATAATTTAATAATATAAACAGATTCTTAAGTGGCTTACGTTTTGTTGATAGCTTTTAGAATTTTAAGGATTCTGAATTCATTCAATTTTTATTTAAAATTTTGATTTTCTCGCGGAAGGGTCTTGACTTGTCAATCATCTAGTTGATCATAAGTTATGTATCAGGTATCTCCCATCTAAATATTATATTCCTTAGTGGAAATACGATACGAATCGATCTGTATCTCAGAAACTAGAAACTAGAGAGGGTAGGTAAATAGGGTTAATTTTCAATAGCCCTGGTTTTTGAGCATTACTAAATGATTATAGTAGCTAGATATACCCAATTTGGATATATAGGCTCTTTATAGAATATTTCCTTCAAAATTGAACGCATTTACACACATCTAAATACATTTGTTTTCTTTTGATGAATTCCTTTTTAACGCATATGCGAATTATTTGAAGTCTGTTTCTCCACTGTGCAGCATGTGGCTCGTTTTTTTGTGAGTGTAAAATCCGTATTAGTGTATCACATAGTCAGGATTTTAGCAAACATTCCCTTCTTAAGTTTTAGAAAAAACGTATATCTTTGCATTTGATATAATATATTTTTTCGAAAAATTTTGTAATTATTATTTTGGGCGATTTATGCAAATGTTTTGCCTTGGAACCGGCACTGGTTTTAGATAGCTTTGTTTACCTGGACAGTGGTGGGTTGTGTTACCTGAGCTTGTTAAGCTTATCGCGCCGCTAGCTATCGCTCTCACTGCCGCTCCCGCTCTCTTCCCCTCGCTCTCTTTTACACACACGCTGCGGTCCCCACGATAAGCTACCCCAGCACAAACACATGAATATTTTGGCCTGGTGTTGTGTGATTTTTCTTTGTCAGAAATGGAACTTGGTTTGGGTTGGGGTTGGGTTTGGGGTTTGGGACTTCGGATACCGGCGAGTGCTAATGCTGCTGCTGCTGCTGTTATTCAGTAGTCGGCGCGACGCTTTTGCAATAGGTGTAGTTAGTACGTTCCGTTGTTCGCTGCAGCAGCCTCTGCTGCCGCTTCGCTGCGCGTCGCATTCCTGTAATCGGCGCTCGCGTCACATATTGATAAGGAACGGAAATCGCCGACCTGGGTTGGCCACTAAAAATAAATCGCCAGTGACGTCATGCGCGCCAGCTCAGGCTCTATCGAAAGCTAACTGCGACGTCAACTGCGACGTTGACGTCGTTGTCGCTGCTGAGCTTAATTCAATCTAAAGCAATTAATGGAAAAAAATACACACAACTCGCCATTTGACGACGAAGTCTGCTGACCTTTGCATTGGCGCTCGGCGTTCGGCGTTCAACTTCCCCCCCCGCTACCCCCCACGACTTGGTGCCCGCTGGGATTTCGATTGATTTAGTTTGATTTTTGGTTTGGCCCAACGCGTTTTGTTATATTTTATTTGTATAACGCTGTGTTTTCACTTTCGCTCGTCGGTTTATTCGCGACTTATTTTATTTTTAATTTATTAAAAAACAAGAAAACGCGCGTAATCGTCGTTTTTGTAAAGCGCGAAATATTGAAAAATATTCAAAACAAGAATTGTGCCATAAAAAGTTCAACAGAGGTTCAAGAGCTCAGCGAACTTTATAAAAAAAAAATGTGCATATAATAATAAATTATCGTTAAGTGCCCACAAAAAAGATAAAATTACAAAAAATAAACATTCGAACAAAGTTAAGAACCTCACTTCGACTGTTTTCAACGCCAACTCAATGCAAAAATGTCATTTCGAGAACTCGTTTGTGGGCTACACTCGGAGGAGCATCCGGTAAGCGAAATGACTTTCAGCTATTCTAGAATATATCAAATGCAAGCTGATATAGCAGCTTGGTCCTACAACTGTTTCAACTGGTGCTCCGCTGACCTTTCTAAATGTCATGACCTCATGCCTGATGCCAACTGACCAACCGGTTAGAATTGTAATTATAAACCAAATACATGTACATATATGTATGTACATGTGGTAAATGCTATATACACATATTCCCATGCACATTGTCAACTGAAATTAGAACACGAAATGTATTTCATGTTGCCGAGTCGACACACTTAGCTACCTTTTTATGGTTGCCTGACTTTTGCCCACCCCTTGCACTATTTGTCCCCATCAACCCCAACGGAGGAGTCAGCGATATCATTTTCTGATTACTCAATTCGTGTTTAGTTTGCGTGGCGCATGTTTGCTTTTAGTCTTTCTAGTACAGACACCTGCCTTACCTCACGTTGATTACTGTTATTCATTACAAATACCTAAATACATATAGATAATTGTAGCTAGTACTCAGTCTGTCAAATAGTGAGCTCTGTGCGATGAAGCATTGCCCAACCTTATCCACAAAATATAAATCAATGTAAAGAAGAAGAGTAAATATTGTCCTTCAATTGCCGAATGTGAAATACCCTTCCAGATATACATCCATCAAATATATAAATATGAAAAAGTTCAGACTGCGAGAGTAGCTGAAAGTTTCGGTGACTGAGCGTCGGATTTACAAGTGGCAGGTCGCCGGTTCAAATCCGGCAACGAATATCAAAGTTCTCATATTTGAAATTCAAAATTAAATCAAATAAATGAAAAATTAAGGCGTAAATAATAAGAATAAAAATGTTGTTTTTATTCTGTACAACAAAAATTAGAAATTATTTAATAAATATATAATATAAACATTTTAAAGTGGGTTTATACATTGTTAGTTACGTCATTATGACGCCAGTAATTGCGTGTTAAATAGTAAGAACAATACAGAAAGAATCATATTTAATCATTAATTAATTCTCGTCTGAAAATATGTAAGTTGCGGACAACTTTTGCGTGAATGTTTCTACATACATATGTATATACCATGATCTGTTTTTATTTTGACTAAAAACTTTTACTAACTAGAAAAGACTGAGCACACTTTATTAATATTATAATGCTACTCATTATAATCGGTAAAACTTTATTATTTAAAGTATTTGCATGTGGCTAGACTGCATCATTATTGTAAAATAAAAAACCGCAAAACTGCAGCATTTATGTATTCATATGTTCACTAAGAGTAAAAAGTTGTTTCACATTTTTGTAAAGTACATTTTGCTCTTATATAGACAAAGATTGACTTGAATTAAAAGACAAACTTACAAACTTGAATAAGTAACTAGCTTAACTCAATGCAACTTTAACACTTCTTAAATTGAGTACAGCATTTGAGTCTTTTATCGAGTTTCATGCTTTACTTTTAGCTTGTCTGACTTTTGATTTTGCTCAGTGTACATATTTATATGTATGAAAATGTTCAAGGTTTTCAGAGCGCTTAGAGCGGCACGCAATCCGCCAGAGACCCGACTCTAACAGGTTGCCCCAGACCTGAGCACGACCTTTTTGGCGGCAATGTGCAAGCAACAAGGCACATGCCGTTGCTGTTGCAGGTGTCTGAAAAACAACCCTCGTGCCACAAAAGGAAGCAAGCGACAGCAGCGCAGCAGCAGCATTGTCAGCTGGCAAGGAAAGGCACTTGCCGCAGTTTCTTTGCTTCCTTCCTGCACGCTCGAATGGCCAGCGAAACGTCATGGGAAATGCGCAGCTCGCTGCAAATCGTTTGACTTCAGGTGCGTCTCGGGCTTATAGCTTGACTTGAGGGCACGGTAAGCCACCAAATGACCTTACCACCAATTGCCGACAGCATTTCATAACGTATTTGCCAGCTGACGTGGGCAAGCCATTGCAATGTGCTGCAATGTTGCATGTGATTATGCACGTAGTATAATATGCTGCGGTTATCTATTGCCGATATGACACGAATGTTATGCATTATGTTCTTTTATCTATATACGAACACATATATATTTGTAATTCGCAAGCTTTTTGGTGCTAAACAGACGCCACTTCTGATTAGCCCGCTTATCAGGTATACGGCGCAGCCAGAGGCCAAGCACAAATATTGTATTAATAATTTATTTAAATTTAGACCATCGAATCGAATAACAACAGCAAAGTCTGTTTCTTCAAATAGAAACAGTAAAACAGTACAACAAACCCAAAAACATTAACAATAACAATAACAATAATTGTATCAACTGCGTCAGAAATGATTCTTAATAACAAACACATTTAACATATAGCAGGCACGTAGCCCACCAATTGATATACCCGAGTCCCCTGTAAACAATTCGCAAGTGACAATACACAAAGCTCTGCTAAATATGCTAAAAACAAATATTAACCAACAAGCTCTCAGATCTCATATAGTTAAGTCAATGAAAGAATGTCTAAGCCAACTGCATCAATAAAGAGGTATCGGGGTTTATGTTTAATGTCCATTTAATGTGTCGATCAAATACGACTGATCGATTATACGTCTAACCTAAAACTAGGTTTACATACACACCCCTTTGTTTGTTATTAGTTTTTATAATGTTGTATGAACGTATCAACTTATTTTACCTTTTAAAATCATAATTACATTATGCTACATATACATGTTATCATATAATTTCACATTCCCTCGATAAGGAGGATTTTCAGAAATAAGAATCACAATTCCTGATGCAAAGATTGTACAAAAAGGAAAAGAGGACAGACTAAGTCTATCTACTTGTAAAATAGTTTAGAATAAATGCTTTAATACGAGAAGATTCTAAATTGTTGCTTTTTTAACACTTTTTAATAAATAATTTTAAGAAACGATACAATTCGCCCGAAGATATCATATAACAGTTACATATATCAATTTTTCATTTGAGATACGAAAGTTTTCCAGAAAATGTAAATTATCAACTGTATTCGAATTTGTAGAGCTCTTTCAATAAATGTTTCATATACTGCTTATTAAAATTCCACTTTTAATATTAGTATATAGAAAACATGCGTTACTTAACATACTGTTAAATAGAGCACACACTGTTAAATAACAGCTCGAAAAAGGCGCTGTAATGTAGTCTTTAAGAAAATATCTTTATTTAATTTAAAAAAATTATTTTTAAGACAAATAATTATATTTCTACACCTTTCATATATACCGTTGCAATATATACCCTGTAAAAAGTTGATATGCCCTTTAGCTACACTCTCTACAAATTATGGAATTAAATTACAAAGCTGACAGAGAGCGCAGCGAGCGGCACAGCAAAAACACCTGACTCTGGCATTGTACCCTCGATATCAGGTGCCAGTGACTAACTGGCGTGGTGGTGGCAGCAGCAAACACAACAACAACAGCAACAATAACAACAACAACAGAAATACTCCCCTTCAACCAACAATAAAAAAATAAATAAAACGCGCGCACGCGCTCTTTTTCCACTGCGCCGCTCAACAGCTGCCGCTGCTGCTGTCGCTGCTTGTTGTTGTTGTTGTTGTTGTAGATGCCGTCGTTACTGAGCCAAGTTAACAACGGCGAAACGTTAACAGCGCTCAAAACGCGTGAGTCAGTCTTTGAGCACAGCTCGTACGCAACGCATGAACAAAAAAACCAGAGAAAATTATTCATTAACTTAATGAATCGATCAGAAAAATATATAAAGAAATGTGTTATTAAGTTCACCAAGAGCCATACAAATTAATATTTCAGCCGTGCTAATTACGGCTGATTCGCCGGCGCAGTCCCCCCCGCCTCTTCGATTTTGTGTATGTGGCGTTAAGAAACGCATTTCTAAATTTGAGCCTTGTGGCTTGTTTTGTGCGCTAAAAATAAAACGCGAAAAGTAAAGAAAAAAATAATAATAACAATAACAAAAGCACATGCAAATATTTTCCAGTTTATAAACTGTGCACACATCACACACACGCACACACACACAGGCACACACGGGGTTATGCTCCAAAAATATTTCATGTAATTGCCCGGAGGTTATTTTGCGTAAATAATCGCAAAATCGCCGCCAAAGTGAAACAACGTCATTCAAAAATCGCGCACGAAACGCACACAAAACGCGCGCGTTAAAAAAAATTCCCCCCGAAAACAAGTTGAGAATTTGAGTGTTTGGAAATATTTGACCTCTGACGCGTCTGTGTATTTTCCCGCTAGACAAATTTGATTTATGCGTTAGTGTATGGGTTTGTGTGTGTTTTTTTATAAACTTTACCTAGAACTCTTTATAAAAGATATAAACAAAACATAATCGTACAATTAAAAAGCAAAGTATTCGCACGTTTGCAGTTTAACCGGAATTTTGGGGCTTGTTCGTGCCAGCTGCTGCTCTCCCGTTCTCTGATTAATATGGCCCATTCAAAATCGGCGCCAATAATACGATATTCAGCTATAGATTCCACCTAAATCTTCAGTGTAGCACATTTCCGTATAATCTGCCAAAAATAGCCAGCAACATGCTTACATTGTGGCATTCCATGGAAGGCTTTTTTGATTGCAATCATCATCTAGGGAATTGCAGGCCACAAATTACACAACTTGTATTATAATGCCGCGATCATAGATATCTTTCAAGTATTATTGTGATTATGGAATGACTGTTAAATGATGTCACAGCCAATGCAAAGGCAAAGCTTTGATCTTTGTTTGCCTGGCCGCCTGCCTGACTGCATCAAAGGCAAGAACGTAGAGCTCTACAGACATGCAGGGGGTATCTACACCGAGAGAAATGTTCATGCATTGTATTCTTGAATTTCGAGTAAAATCAATTTTGAAGTTAAAATTTGAAAAATTCAAAAAAAATTAGTTCATTACAAAATACTTACAACAAGAATTTGCATACTCGGAATAAGATTAAATTTATCTCTAGGGATATATCTTTGATAAAGTTTCAAGGCTTGTGCTGGATTTTCTCTGAGTGTAGGCTAGTCAACTTTAGCTGGGAGCAGTCTCTTGTATATATGTATATGTACATATATATAGCTGACTTATTCACCAGGCGTCGTGGCTTTTTAGCGATCGCTGTTGTTAATTATACAATGATCACTGGATAATACTCTTCACTCTATAGGCACAACACAATGGCGCGGCTTTTGTCGCTTGATGGCATCTATAATTCTGTGTGAGCAGATTGCTTTAATAGAAATAGTGGGTGTATCAATAATTTATGCAGAGCATTACCTTTTTCCTTTTAAGAACCTATCTTAACTATTAGAGAGCCCCCCTTTAAGCCCCTGTCACTAGTCAAAGTTGAGTATTTTAATCAATTTGGTCTGGTTTGTTTGTTTTTCAGCCACAAATTTATTCAACTTGCATTAGGGCCTAGTCACGATTTAGCCTCCTCCAACTTGTTTACCCTATTTTCTCTATCTCAACTTTTTAAGGTATTTTCCATATACTATGGCACACGATCAATTTATGATCTTTTGGAATGCACATAAATATATCGCTGCTGCAATAATTAGTGTTGCTTATGCCCTGTAATTACCAACTACAAAAGGGTATGTTGCGCAGACGGTTAAAGGTACACAAAAAAATAAATAATAAGAATGTCTGAGGGTTTATTTCTATATTCTTTGACAGGGGAAAAGCTTGGCTAGTAATCGCCATTTCTACCAATCTTAATTAAGGTCGGCCTACGACCTTTCCATCTCTGAACATAATACAGGGTATCTCAGTGTCAGCCATTAAGGCAACACTTACCTTATTTACGACTCAGCGTAATATTTTCCATTTGAAACCCAATTAATGTCCGAAAACTGCGTTTAATTTAGTTGGCTTATTTCATGAAATTGCGCATTGAAATTGGCAAACCAAAAATATTTGCATATATCCGCCTTGGTTTTAGGTAAACCCACTGCTCAAGCGTTTTTAGGTGACGCATTGTCAATTTCTATAGTTGGTAGCTCAATATAAGTTATAATGAAAACAAAAACTTGGCCAACTCATTTCGCATGCGCGCCAGGTAAAAAGAAAGCAGAAATCCATAAAAAAGAAAAACCACCTTTGTCGGATAATATAGAAATTGCAAAAAGTACTTGGAACGCAACTTGAAGACGTCATTGTCAGCGTCAATTGGCCGCATCAGCTCCAGCCACATGCTCGGGCACATCTGTGTCGTCTCCAGTGCGTCAGACATGGGCGCCGAATCCCCCCCCCCCCCCCCCCTTTGCCCCTTTGCCACAGCTGTGCCAAATACAAACGCACATTTTAATTCTCCAGCGCGAAAATGGCTTTTCCCGCATTTGGCATGTATCGATATGTGTAGCTGTGCGCGTGTGTGCGTGTGTGTGTGTGGCACTCGTGAGTTTACCTTTGCCGTGGCATTTGCGCTGGAAAATTCAGTTAAACGCGAACAGCCAAGCTAAACGCACGCCCCCCTTTTTCTGGTTAAACTGCCGTCCAGAACTTTGCGTTTTAATTTGCAATAAGAAAAAAAATATCAAAAAACAGTTTATTTCCCCAATTCTTTAGCGCGAGTCATGAGCAACAGCGCTACAGTGAACACTGCTAAAACACAAACCAAAGACACAATTTTAACAAACAACAACAATTCGAGCAGCATCTGCAACATGGTGGAGCGCTTCGTGCAATCTCTGGGTCAGCTGAACGATTCCGGCAGCTGCTTCGATGCTAGCTTCGAGGTCAAGCACATCTTGCAGAGCCCCAGCCTGATGACGGGCACGCCCAACGGCCGACAGCGTCATCGGTGCCTCACCGAACTGGATCGGGAGCAGCTGACACGCTTTGTACAGGAGTTCGAAGCGCGTCAGTCTGTGGCCTCCACGCCCAAAGCTAAATGCATATCGCCGTTTTTATGCCGCAAGGCCAAAGAGATTTATCGCAGCGCCAGTGGCAGACGGAGCGCCTCGCCGCACATCTACATAGAGCCTGTGCAGGAGCTGGAGGAGCACCAGCAGGAGCAGCAGCAGCACACACGCAAATCTGCTGAAGCTGAGGACTTGATGCCGCCACCGATGGCACTGGCACGCGTGCAGGCCGAGCGACGCAGCTGCCGCAGTGCGTCGCGTGTGCTGCAGTTCTTCAGCTCGGCGACCAAGCGGCGCAGTGACAGTCGAAAGCTCAGTGAAGTCGATACGGATGCCAGTCGTGCCGGTTCGCCTGTCCTGCTGCGTATCAGCGCCAGCAAGCAGCTGGAGGAGGAGCAACAGCAGCATCTGGGCTGCATGCCACTGCCAGGCAGCGGCACGGGCAGCGGCTCCGATGAGGATGAGGAACATGACGACGGCATCAGTTCGGCCAGCTCCAATTTGACTTCACAGTCGGGCAGCTGTAGCAGCAACAGCCGCAACATATCGCCAGACTCCAGCTTCGAGATGCATGCCCCACTCTTGCCCAGCTTCAAGGTGACGCCGCCGCGTGGCGTCTGCAAGGCGGGCAAAACTGCGGCCAGCGAATTTGCGCGCTTTCTGCGCGGCTCCTTCCATGCCAAACGCGCCTCCATCACAACGTTGCGGCGTTCGCTCAGCGATCCGGATGCCATGCAGCAGCTGGACTTCACCAAGCCGCCGCCGATGATGACGAAGACGACAACGACGACGTTGCAGCCCCTCGGCGATGTCAGCAATGTGATGCGCGTGAGTCACTTTTGAAAACAATCACTCGATCCCCTCATTTTCCACGGCAGGAGACGCTCGCTTTGGGTCATCCAGCTGTTTTCCATTAGATCATAAGCACATTTGTTTACGTTTAAGCCTCACATTAGGAACTCTTGTTTATTTACGCTCGAGTCAGCTTCAATCATTTCTATTTAAACCCCCTCCCCCGCCATCCACCCTATATCAGTTCAACAGTTCACACACATATGGCAATGGCAATTTCTGGCCGTCTTTGCCTGTTCACTTGGCCATCAGTTTTGATCGATTTAGTAGCACATAACCTAGATTAGCCTTAAATACGTGTACACCATTTACCTATAGTTGATGTATCCCAATAAAAGCCAACCTGTTTGTAAATACTCGTGTGCCGTACCATCAAATTGTTTAAAGGTTTATCGCGTGCCAACGGCTCGAATTGATTTTTAATTGCTATTTTAAAAGTTTGCTTGTTGTTTCTCTACATGAGATCAATCAAAATGTGTTGACTGAAGACTTTAATAGAAATTCGTGTTGAAATATGCAATCGAAATGATTTAAAAGATTTAAATTAATGGATTTTAATTAATGGACACATAGGAAAATAGCAAGTAGTTCGAGTTATAGACGTCCGATTTGAAGGGATTTTATACAACTTACTGGGGAGATACAATAGTTATATATAATGTCACTTCTTTGTTCAAATCATTTTTGTATATAACAAATTCTGCATATTAAATGCCTATTTAAAAAACTGAAAACATTTCTTAAAAATATAAATTTTTTTTCCTTAAATCAAATGTTAAAGAATGTTTATAAGCGGAAAAACAATAAAAACAATGTCTTAAAACTCAAATTTCTGGCGAATTTGAATTTCTAGCAACTCGCATGTACGTTAACCGGTTAAATTTATAACAGCTCAATTTAATTTATTATTAATTATTCAATGTATATACAATGTATACATAATTTTCTCAAGATTACTTTCACTATTAATATTAATATATATTTGACTAAATAATTTTTGTATAGTATTTTCTGAAAATATTTTTATAGTTGTTCTATTAAAAAATAATTTCATTTTTGTTTGTCCATATTTGAAATGAAAAGCTAAAGAATTGTTAGTATAGCATCTAAATTCAGACTATTTTTATTTATTTTATTTTTTGGAGGCACAACTTTGCTTTCATAATGAAGTTATTGACACTTGAACAAGTTACTTTTACAATAAAGACGTTTATTCAAATAATTATCTTTCCCAGCGTATTATCATGCTAATGCTAAAACTTATTCATAAATCGATTCATCTTCCGGAACTGACGTCTGAGCTGGTTGAAGAGCTATAAGTAAAATAAATTGAATAGCTACACAAAAGCGTACAATTTATTCATATTTCACACTTTTTATTATTTGTACATATTTGAATTGAATTGACAATTGTATTTTTATGGATTGCCATAATGACTTTCTAATTGTTGAATTTGCATGGACGACGCATTGCCCATTTTCACTTTCCATTAAAACGTTGTTGTGTTTTCTTAATTCTCTTCAATTGCTGCCGAGGCAGCGCCCACGTGAATAGAGTATTCAGAAATATGAATCATTTATCAATAAAAATAAATTATGTACGCACACAAGCAAAGGGAATGACCATATAATGCCCACAAACTTCGTTTACATACATACGACAATCTATATTTCATATTTACTTATGTATATACAATTTTACATGTGTATGAACATACATACATATGTACATGCTTCTTCCGCTTTAAATAACGCCGGAACGCAGATGACCCGCATTGGAATCCATAAAATTAACGTAAATCAACAACAACAACAACAACAACAATAGAACCAACGGGCAGCCGCCTGCCGGATATTTAATTTAATGCCAGCGTGTGCAATTGCTAAAAAGGAAAAAAAAAATACCAAAAAAAAACAAAAAGAAAAATGTGTATAAAATTCTTAACGATCTAAAAGTCTGGCGCGCAGCACGCTAGCGCACATTAAAGCAAATTTTCTGCTAACTAAACTGAACAAAACTAAACAAATCATAAATAACAATTAATTTATGTTGGTCCATTTGCAGCTGGTCGATCAGGGCAACTTGAGTATTTCGTAGGGTCATGTGTTAAACGCCACGCGTGAACCGCACCGCTCCCGCCCCCGCCGCCACCTCTTAATCTTTCGCTTTGCAAAATAACTTAATTTATAAGCTAAATACGCAGCGGTCGGTAGACACTGGCCCGCATTTTAGCTCCCCGTTGTTGCTGTAATTGCTTGGCATTTTAATTATTTCAATTGTCTAGGCTCTTTGTTTATTTGGCATCGCAAATGGGCGCTTTAATTTATTTGCGCCGCTTTTGGTTATTTTTAGCACAATTTATTTACTTGCAGCATATTTCCATGTGTGTTTAGCTAGTTCATTAAAATTTCTGCTGCATACTTATATGGGCAGCGGCTTTTAGAATCAACAAAAATATGCTATTAATTGATAAAAGCAAAAAAAGAAAACAAACAAACAAAATGCCTTGGCAACAAAATTAATTGGCAATGTACGATATAAACGTTTAATTAGCCGACCAGCTGCCCAATCCACTGAGGCAACACGAGTGCAAGAGCGACAGAGAGCGAGCACACACCCACAACAAACATACATACAAGAATTTCATTCATAAGCAACAAACGAGACAACAAAAGCGAAAAGAGCAGCCGGTGTCAGGTAAATAGGCAAACACAACGCAGCAAAAACAAAGAGCTTAAATGTAATAATACATATGTATGTATACACACATGCATAGCAGAAAGCAAAAAAGAAAAAACAGCAACAATAGCAATATGAGTAAGCAATAACTCGCACACAAAGGCAGCTGCACGTCGAGTTCGAAATTCGAAATAAAAGAGCGAACGTGCGAGTTAGATCGAACAAGTAGGTAAGCTCCAGCGAGACAGTCACGATTGATCGAACCTAGCGTTTGTTCAAACTGCAGCCAACCTTTATGTTTGAATATAAATTTCTGCGATTCTGCATTCAGGGTTTTAGCAGCGACGACACTGGTGTGGCCACCCATAAAATCTCCCAAGCTCCCAGCATTTCAAAACAATTTCTGGATCGTTTCAACCAGCGCCCACTTGCAACTTGTGTGCTGTGTGTTCGCTGACATTTTTGCTTTGTTGGATTTGGTTGGATACAACATTCAAATGCACAACGTATGTACATACATGTATATATGTATTTGTGCGTACGTCTGATCAGCAGCTGGCTGAGCACAACACAGCCGAAGTCAGTTACTTTATACACGTTG